AAAAAGTTGTCGCGGTCGCTTACGAGAGATTCCAACTAATGGGCTTTGACTGGGAACATTTTGGTGTTTTGTATAGGTGGTCGAGGTTCGACTGTTTCATCTTTTTCTTTTTGGTATGCCCATGCCTTTGTTTTTGGCGATTCCTGATGAATTCGTGTTGAAAGTAAATGTTTATTGAAGCTCGATCAAGCAAATGGTTGTTGTCACTCAAGTCTTCTCGTTTTCCAACGCCGCTAGAGACGGGTTGGGAATGAGCTGAGGTGGAGTTAATAATATTTTGTGGTCCAAACATAGGGCGCAGATTTAATAGTTATTTGTGACCTTGGTTAATCAGTTTAAAATTTTACAGTTAATAGAGCGAATCGCCTTCACCGTTTCTATCTTCTGGATAATTTTAGTGGGCAGGAAGAGAAATTTTTAGAGACAAATATATAAAAAACATTGACGGGAGAGTTCATTTCATTTCAGTTGTGTCTGTGGGATGCTTTTTTAGCAACCATCTGCACTTTTTTGCACCAAATTTGCATTCACTTGATAAAATTTGGTGTGAATAAGATTTTTCGTACATTAAACTGATTCAGACGCTTAAGTTTGAAACTGTCCTTAAAATTAAAGTACCGTTTTTGAAGATAAGCGTCTAAAGCACATGGTCTGGTTCGGTAGTTAGTTTCGTATTCTCTAACACTGGCAGAAGAGGCTGAATGTTCCTGGATCATCGTACGAAAATTTCCTCATGGATCAAGATTGCGAAACCGGCTCAGACTGATTTATTTTTTGACTGATGTATTTGTTTATTAATTGGTAAATTTTTGGGAAATAAACCGAACATCAAAGCCAGGATTCGAGCCAGGACTTCAGCTAGGACTCGAGCCAGGACACGAGGCAAAACTTCGAGCCAAGACTCGAGCCAGGACTCCAATTAGGAGTTTTCTGATCCTTCTGTAAGCAAAAATAAATAAGTAAACAAAATAAACAAATAAACACAAGAAAACTTAAAGTAATAAAAAGGACTCCTAACCTGACTCATAACCTCCTAACCCTAACTCTAACCGTCAACTTAACCCTAACCCTAACCCTAACTTGAGCTTTCCTTCCATGATTGCCACAAAACTCTCCTCTTAATGGTCATGGGACTTGCAGGAGGTGAAAATGGTGGGAAAACGAAAACTTGTCGCGTCCTGGCTCGGTATATAGGCATCCTCAACTTTTAGCCCTCGCGGCCAACTACGGACTGACAATACGATATATTCCAACCCAACCAAGGCGCCTTTGGCCATAATGTCCTGTGTCTCGTTTATCCACCTTTTTATAAAAGGTGGTAGAAACTAACCTTTCCGTCATCAGTAAAATTTATCAGTACTCACGTAAAACTGACTGGGGCGAGAAGCAGCCAGTAGCAGTGGAAACTGATAGGCTATTCAAGCAGTGCAACTCTAACGGTAAAATCGGCGTTGATCATGGTCTAAATAATAACGTGAAAAGTGTACTTAACACTGAATGTAGTTTGTGTGTTCTCTTCCTCTGAAATCAACAGTTGTCCGGCATGCCGAAAATAAATCGTCGGCGCAAGAAAGAAGTGTTTTAACATAATCCTACAACTACAGTACCCGACTCTACTTACAAAAATTAATCTGTGTCCTTTTTAATTTACCCATTTCACATTCTTCCTAACTCACCTCTTGGAATGAATTACGACAAAACAGAAGGCAAGAGGCAGTGCAATCTCTATTACATTCTTTTTAATACGCTCAATTCATATTCTTCAATGTCCATGTCAATGTCAAATTCTGTGAGATTCGAGGTATCAGCCGACCACGTTTGCTACAAAGTCTTTATAAGCTATTCAAGAGATAAAATCTGACTAGAAAATTCCGGGATTTATGCATATCTATCTAAAAAAGGAAAGTCCCTTCATTGCGGCACACGCAAGTGCAACTAAGAGTGCAAAGTACACTAGAGATTTAACAGCAGAACTTCTCTGCTAAGTCCCTACGTCTTAACAATTTGTGAGACAAGCAGTGTGCAGGACGTATAAGTTGCTTTAGAGGCATCTCGCTTTTTCCAGTGAAATAACATTTTCAAAGCTTTTTTAGCGTATTCCTCGTTATCTTTGTGAATTACAATAACTTCTGCATTCTTAAATTTCAGACGCTGAGCAACAGGTTCCCAATAATTCCCAAGCTCCACAGACAGTTCTTTCAAAACATCTCATCGGGGACACCATCTTTGATTGAGTCTACAGAAAATCACGATGCACCCACATATTTATTTGTTTATTGTGAGACTATGACTCAAAAAGCCCTGGGAACGAGGTTGCAACTATATCTGTCGTAACCAGTAACGTCATTCAATTTCATTTTAACAGATATAACACGAAAACAGTATAATATTCGCACTGCATACCCGTTTTCCCGTCACTGGGACGTTATCGGGGAAACCGCTCCTGCTTCAACCACGGTATGCTACCTTTTACACCACAAGGAAATAGGTTCCGATCGCCCCATCTGAACACGTTAACGTCTTGCTCTGAGGACACAAGGGGCCAACAGAGGGATGGGCACCCTGGGCAGTATAACGTGGACTAACATCTCACAAAAGATAAGCTTTTAAAAACCGGTTCGTAACAAATGGGGAGAAAGTCCATAAAATAAGGCAAAAACGGCTTAATAAGCGGAAAATTCTACTGAGAGGCCCAACCCCCTCCAACCCCCTGTTGACTCCAGGCTCCCAATCAGATCCGGGATTGATCATAAGAGGAGGTCCCCTTGAGGTCAACTGAGAGAAAGTAAAAGACTCAACCGAAAACATAGCCTGAGAGCAGGCTCACTTGTGTTAATTCGGAAAAAAATTATTTTGGCGGCGGAGTCGACATCCAGCTTGGAAAAGTGAGCCTGTACGCGGGCTAGTGATTTTTGAATTGCGCCCCTTCAAGGTATCAAGATACTATCCAATAGGACCAAAGCAAAAGTACAAAAACTGACAGAAGTTGACCACAATCGTGAACTGAAGCACACACTACCGACGCCGCGGTATGGCCAGTACCTTTCGCAGTCATGGACAGCTGTTCCGTCCTTGTTAAGGCTCATCAGCATGGCATTACCAGCACGGTAATACTTATGATAACAAATCAGCCTGCCTTAACTACTTAGGCGAGTGCAAAAGCACTACTTTAAACGTCAGCTCCATCGTAGACATGTAGTAGCTTGCCGGGAACTGCTTGCGGTTTCTAGCTAACAGCTACCACGTGTGTACGACGGAGCTCTCAACTAAGGCGAGTGAAGGCGCAACAAGAAAGTTGGACGAACGATCAAACTCAACCTACTTTTAAAAGTTGATAATATTCCAAAAATAAAACGTGAACACGCAGCAGAAGCCGCTACCAGACCATGTAAGAGTTACAGAAGCAGAATTAAGAAATTAGGGACTTTAAGCAACGACTACGGAAGGGTCTAGTACGGTGACCGGATTTTTTTTCCGCCACGGGTCAATGCTTAAAGTGTAAGATACCACGACGGCGACAGCGGTCAAAACGTCGCTTTTTAGTAAAAAGTCAATCCAAATTCTTTCAAACTTTTTCGCGATTATTACAAGTCGATTATTTTGTCAAAAATGTGGGCAAACTCATAAAGGAAAAAAGTTCGTCTTCTTTTGCTTACGTCCTCAAAAAAACGTGAAATTGGGAATTTTCACGTCATGGTCGTAATTATTAGCACAGTAATGACAAATTTGTTGCTATTCTTAAAAAATTTGCATTCTTCTCATATGACAATTGTAAGCTTAGCGTAAGAAAAAGGAGAGTAAGCGCCAAACATGTTGCTAGGATACAGTTTCGAACCCTGGCCTAATAGCCGTGTGCAAAAGCCAGTTTGACGAGAAAGAACAAGATTGACTAGTCTTGAAGTTCGGGCTGCGGCGACCTCAAAGGGTTGACATGATCTTGGCAGTTCTGCTGGCAGGGTTGCCCTACATACACTGAGTCGTCAATGTCTACACAGAAATCACGAACACTGCATGCATGATTATCAGTGATGGACTTATTAAATCCCTTCCCAAATCGCCAAAATAGTTTTCCTTTTCTGATTGGCTTAATTCCCAAGGCTCATTTGTCATAACCAGCCATGGCTGATCACGTAAAGATTTCTTTAAGTATTTTATTATTGACGTCAATTGTTGGGTCAGTTATGCCCTGGGCAAACCGTTCATCATGTACTGATATTCAAATATTGAAATTACAGTAGTGCCATATATCGTGCGCGTTTAATGGATCAAAGAGAGGAACGACACTGCTGCCTAATAGACACTTCTCTTTAAATCAATATTGGCTTTAAGAAGTTGCAAACAGTGTTTACGAGCTGACAGTCGTTCTTTCACCTGATTAACGTCATTACTCACTTTGACAATGAAGTCCTAGTATACTAATACCGAACCATGCAATGAGGGAAATGTTACCAAGCAGCAAATACAGGGTATTAAACTGGTATGAAGCGATTTCACTGGCTGCTTAAACTATCAAAAACTTAATACCAGGTAGCTTTTAAAACCTCTCGCTTTACCTGCCAGTGTCTTTGAAAATGAGTGGATTTATACTTTAAATTTGTTCCAATCAGTTTCTTCCAATCATTCAATTCAATTCTATGCAATTCCCTCCGTTTATTAAGAAATAAAAAAAACGTTGTGTAAAAATGTCAACTTGATTTTTTAATTTGCACGGAAGCATGGATTTTTCGGCTAATTGGGCCTTTCAACTGAAAGTGGTATTAGATGCAGTTATACTTGATCGTTTTCCTCAAAACTACCTCAGATTTTGGTCGCGTGTGTAGGCTCTTTCCAAAGGTCAGAACTGAGTAGCCAAACCGGACATCTTGAAAATGAAATAGGTTTCTTTAGTCTCTTTACGGATATATGATTGATGGGTTGGTCTGGCTAAAAATTTTTACCCGTTACTAACCAGCAAACGTACATTTTATTTCTTAGTTTCGTTACTTTTTCTTTTGTACCATGAGGGCTGATGCTGATGAATCTGTCACAGCTTTCTAGATAATGATGATAATAATGACAATAACCATTAGTCTTTATTCTTCAAAAGATGAAAACTCGTGTGTTTTGTTACAAGTAGGTTAAAAGTATTATTTTGTGAATACATGTAGTACAGCCTTTTGCTATGTTTCTGTAATGGAAGGCTAACCCGTATTTAGCAATTACATGGTTGAAAAAGAGCTTTTAAAACGCAAAATATTTCTTAGCTTAACTCGTAAGGTCTTTCGTAAGATGATAACTGCACGGTTTGACGCACTAGGTTCACATTTGAGATTTATATTTTTCTTTCTGTCTGTAATTTTTGAAAACGGCGGAAAGTTTCTTAAATGGCTACCTCATTTTCTTTAATGGCATCTAAAAACATCTTCTTCTGGTTACACTTACGCAGCATGACTAACTATAACAGCAATAATTTTGTGCTAATTCCGTTTGGCCTACACATTCATCACACAAGGCATCATACAAGACTCTGAAGGTTGCTCCTGAACCATACTTCGCTCTCCACTGAAGCAACATCTCTAATGCCTTTTCTCTTAATTCTTCATTCTGTTTGTGAAAAGCCGTTATGTCTGGCTTCTCGAAACCCAAGCAATAAGCTAAATCTTTCCAATATTCTCCTAGCTTCCTGGACAGGAGTTGTAAGTCCTTGTCTTTGGGGACACCATCCTTGATGACTGGAATAAAGGATAACACGTTATTGTATCTATGGAAATGTAACAACACCTTCGATTCCAAAGCATGTTCGAAGATTGTGCTGTTTTAGAGACCAGTCCACGCCCACGGCCCTTCCACCTTACTAGCCAAAACCGAGTCAGGTTCTTCATGTGAATCATTTTAGTCAGAAAGTCCCCAACAGTTTATAGGGTTCCGGGATTTAGCTTATATGATGGCCTGGAATAGGGAAGAAGAAGCCTTCTAAAACCTCTTCTTCAGGGTTTCCAGGCCTAATCGTCGAAGCCGTAATGAAAATTTACAACCCTCAAACATCCGATTGACCTGCACCCATCCAAACTTCTTTGGTCCATATAACGTGTACTACCTATTGTTTTCATGTCACCATCGCTATTGTTTTCCCAGCCACTCACAGACCTTGTTTGGAATAGGTGCAGGTCGGCCCCAAACATCAAGATAGATAAGGCTGCTGGAGAACTACATCTTAAAATTCCGAAAATAAGCCCGCGGGGGTAACATTTTTGAAGGATTTTATTCGAAAGAGGTTTACAAGACGGGAAAATCTATGTCCCCGCTCAACAATTTTTCAATGAACATGCACAGAAACATCCCAATTTCCGCGAAGAAAGCAACTTTTTTGAACAGAGCAAAAAGGAATAAAGTAGATAGTGTAAATATATACAAGTAAATACTCAAGCTATCACACGGAGCGCTTACTATAATCAGTTTTTGAGTGGAGAAGGGGACGCTAATCAGTCGAAGAGGGCGGTTATTTACTTCTGCAGAATTTCGGTCTCAAGATGACAATTTTCTTTGTTTAAAATGCGCATGGAAACTGCACCATTAGACAAGAAAACTAGAACGTGTCTTTCAGCATATGTCCAAATCTGTGTGTGTTTGGTGCATATTTTTGGCTTTGAACTTTCTGTTGTAACTATGTTTGGTCAATATACTCTAGCACTACTCCAACAATGGACCGTGTAATGTCCTCAAAAGCGTCATTCTCTTACTAGTGATTGTACATGTAATGCTATAAGTAAAGTGCTTGAGGGCAATTTCCAAATATAATATTGATTCAGTGAAAGCGATCAGTAAAGCTATTGTAGGTCCAAGGGTGGTATTCTTTAGCAAAATGACCAAGAAATTGAAGCTTAGTTTACAATGATGAATTAAAGAAATAATACCATCTGCGCTCCTCGAAGGCGTGGCCTCGGACTGTTTAGCACCCCTGGCTTCACTTGGCGACGATTTACTTGTTTTTGGAGCTTTCCCATCTTTAGAAATAAAAAGAAAGTAGAAGTTAAAACTTAAGAAGTCATAACAATGAAAAGTCTCCGTCTCAGAGAAAAGAGAATGTAATGGATTTTGTTTGTACACATTTCCAAGCAAAAAGCAAAAAAAGGTTTGTTTCTTCCAAGTAAATGATAAGTTGGTCGCCTGTGTCCAAGTAAAACCCTTTTTTTAAGTACTACTGACCGTGTTTTTTATTCTCCTGCTAATTTCCCTCGGAAGATAAGACACACGGGCAACATAAATTTGTGAAAAGGTATCTAACGGGCACACTTGTTCCAGTTTGTATCTCTGATTTATATCATTTCAATCACCTTTTGATGGGGACTCTGCTTTTCGCCTTTCAGCGGTAGTGGAAGATGAGGTTGCCATGGAATCCATAAAATATCAGAAAGATTCCCACAGGTTATATGCAAAGCGTTATTTATTTTTTTATCAGATATGAGTGTTAAAAAATGAGGAGATATTGATAGTAAGCGTAGTTAACAAGAGACATAACACGCATCATGATATCGATAATCTATTTAAAAACTCCCAGGGCCGGTGTCATGTCATAAGTTTGATTTTCTGTAGTCTCCTTCGCAGCCGCTCGGGCAATGCTCCGAGGAGGAGGAGGAGGAGGAGGAGGGAAAACAATTGAAATGTGGTGGCGGTGGTGGTGGTGGTGGGAAAACAATAGAAATGTGGCGGTGGTGGTATATAGCTTCACTATTTACGAAGCAGTGTTAAAAAAAAGTTGAGTGTAGGGTCGATGTGGGGTCGATGTAGGGTCGATGTAGGGTCGATGTGGGGTCGATGTAGGGTCGATGTGGGGTCGATGTAGGGTCGCTAGGAGGTCGATGTATTTGTGGATGGAAAAATATATAGAATAAATGAGGAGGTGGAGGAGGGGAATAAAAGACATTGAGGAGGGAAAATAATAAAAATTGTGGAGGAGGGAATAAAAACATTGAGGGGGGAAAATAATAAAATTGTGGAGAAGGGAAAAAGAAAAAATTGAGGAGGGAAATAAAATTGAAAAGGGAGAGGGGTAAGTAAAACATGACTTGCTTTCTTTGACTGTTTTAATAGATTTCTTTCAAATCGCTGTGTATTTGACTCTTTTTGTTTTAAACGGTATCTCGTGTCAGATTTTATTGCTAGCAATTACTAGTCGCGTGTTTTAATTGATCCTTTTTAAGTTATTTGTTTTATAATAATACGTCAAGGTGCTCCCTTGGGTCTTTCCTGTAGAGCAAATTTGTATTCAACTTTAAATTGGGCTTGTGAACTTGCATAATTAACTGACTAACAGTGCGTGAAATTACAAGACTTTAATAGTTTTTCATTTCCTCGAGATAGAACGGAGAAAACGTCAGACAAAATTGAAATAGAGTTTTCAGTTCTACTTTGTGAGTTTTAGAGCTCAATAAGAAGACATAAACTAAACGGAAATAAAGACTTTTCAACTCCACTTTGTGCACATGTGTTTTGTTTATATATCTGAGTTTTAGCGCTAAATAAGATATAGGAAGCCGTTTCTCGCGTTGCTAGGTGATCGCTTCTCTTATTCCTATTTTCCTTTTAATAGACTGTCCGAAAACCGAGCTCAAGTTACTTCACGGGCAAGTCTAGGCAAGCCTATTGTTCCTATTGTAGTAGAGTGACATTCATTAGTAAACCTGATCCAAATTAGTATGCAGGAAGACACTTCTTTCCGAGGTGACGTCATAGGCTTATGCATATCAATTAAGGGAAGGCATACGGAAGGCAAGGGAAGGCACCAACGGGGTTAAGTTTGACCCTAGTAGACTACTATCCTCGGTGTAAAAACCTGTGAAACTTACGAGTGACGTAAAACAATGAATACAAAGAAGCCACTGAGAAGTAAACACAATAGAGCCAGGGGAAAAATAACTAGAAAACAAGGAAAAACTTCACAGGTTTTTACACCGAGGTAAAACCCCATGCTCGCGTCAGAAATGCCCTCCAATCACTTTGCTCCTTTATTTGACCAGCTGACGGTGACTTTGTCAGATCTCAATTCTTGTAGCGCGGAAATTCGGTACAGGCTTTAAATTCTCATCAGAAAGTAGCAATTGCGGAGTTAATTGAAAGAAAAAAAATGACATTTTCGTTAATTTTGCCCACGCAACGGAGAATCTCTATTTTTTCAAGCATTGCTGGTAGCAAGTCATCGACCACACAACATATCGTATCCTGCAAACAACACAGGAAATCAGGAAGTAATAATAATACCGAATTTTCCTATAGCGCATGCATACGCTGACATTTCTCAACCCCTCTTTTAAGCCTAATAATGAAGTGAATGAATCGGAAGCCATTAAGTCAATGTAGCTTGGTATCAGAGCGATTACAACATGGATGTGGATGGACAAACTTAAACTTAATAATGATAAGACAGAACTTATGATCATTGAAAGTAGACAAAAACTTGAAAAGCTTAGTGTTGTAGAATTGTCTGTTGGTGACACCAGCGTTGCTCCTGCACGAAATCTTGGAGTTTGGTTTGATCCAAATCTGAAGTTTGATGCTCAAATTACAAAAAATTGTTGTACAGGTTACTACTATCTGCACAATATAAGAAAGATCTGTTGTACTATTTTACTTTCTTAATTTATCATCAGACCATGAAAACGCATCTGTGAGTGATAATCGTTTAGCCAATCAATATCAATCAATAGATTTTTTCATTTACATTAAAAATATTGACCGAAATCGATGATTGATTTTCATTGATTGGTATCGTCGGGGTCTAATTGCTGTTGGACTCATCGTCTTCTACCTCAGTTATTGCTTTGAATTTATGTCCACTTCTGCAAGGGCTAACTGTTTTGACAATCGAGACTTCCGAAGCTCATCTTCTTGTGCTTTCCGTGCCGCTATTCTCTTGGCTTCGGCGTCAACAAACAACAGTTCTGCTTTTCATTCCTCGACCTTCGTAGCGGAGCCGACCATTCTTTCTCAAGTAGAAGATTTTCCCGCACCCGAGTAACGCGGCGATCTACTACTGAAGCTTATTAATCTCGCAGAGAAACGTAAACTTTCCAATTCTCCTCTGAGTTCGGTGATCTTAGAATTTAACGTGCGTTGTTATGGCACCTCAGTATTCAGAACAGAATTAGTCGATGGCAAACAACAAGAAGACTTTTATGTGGTAAGTTACAGTGATGAACCTTGCCTCGAGATGTTCATATTTTTGTACGTACCTTCAGTGTTGGTCTGAAATTTTTTGTTATGAATGGCGGAAGGGGGTGGGGGAGAGATCAGAACATGTACCACGTGTTGTTTACGAGACATTAAAGCAATGGAAACTGTTAAACAGTCTTCAACAAATCAAAATAGTTGCAAATGCTTACGGAAGGTCCCAACTATATAATGATTTGGAAAGGTGCATGGTCATCGAGTTGGGAAGATTTGACCAATCAGCCAATTTCCCGCCAAACATACGGGCGTGGTCAGTGGCGCCAAAATTGTGTTCGCTCACCCCGGGCTGGATCGACTTTTAGGATACGGTCATGGAGTTATAAAGAATGAGTTCATCATCTATATAACCTGTTCACCCCAAAATGACTGCATTTTGCTTTTCAGAGACCCATCAGTTACTTTTTGACCCTGTCGAATCAGAATTTATGCCCGTGTTGTAATACTGGTGGTGAGGTCAGTCTACAAGCAGAGTCGTGAAAAACACCGACACTTAAGCCTTTACGTTCAAAACATTTGTGGCTATCGGGAAAAAAAAGGACCTTAAAATACCAAAATAAAATGTCATTTCAAATTTCACTTTGTCACCGTTCGAAAATTATTGTGAATCAGACCGAATGAGAGTTCACTCAAAGACGGGGGGAGGGGGAAGGGGAATTCTTAACAGTTCCAGTTTGCTTGGAAATTAAAAGTTACGAGAAAATACCGGGCGAACTGCAGAATACTTGCAAAAATGAGAAAGAAAATAAAAAGCAACTTTCTGTTCAAAGTAGGGTGAAACGTTTAATACAGGGGCGTAGCAGGATTTTATCACAGGTACGCACAACTCACCAGATGCCCCTGTTCCCCCCTCCCCCCTCCCCCCTCCAATGTCCCCAAAGGTATTGTAAGCCTAAGCGTTATTCTTAGTTAATTGACTAAAGCACTTCAGTCGCTTTCATGACTCAAGGCTACGTTTACAAACGCACATGAATCCAAAACATAAAATAAACAACGTCCCGATTTTGCTCAAGTCTCTGGAAATTTTGAATCCAGAATCGAAAGTGAATACTTTGTATATACGTTTAATTCCGCATTGTTTTGTAGAATAAACAATTATTCCAACGAATCATGATACTTTCCTCCTTCGACCATAAGAGTTTGCGGTTAAACCAAAATGAGAGTGTCACGTTTATCAATATATAGGGTGCTTTAAAAATATTGATGGCGAGGGTAGGAAATATGACACTATTAAAACGAATTCGCGTTTTTCCAAACTTTTCTGCGTTTATTCCAACTTGCTTAAAACGGCAAATGTAGGTAAATTTCACTGAAGTTGAATCCTTGGGGACTGCACCCAAGTTTGAGCAGAGAAAGAAAAATTCATCATCGTGTGTTTATTTCCACGTCCTCCAAACAACGTCGCATTAAAAAATTTCACGTCGTGGTCACGGCAAAGAATTGTAACAGAAAGCGTGCTACACATGTAAAATTTGTTCTTTAACTTTTAAAACCTTGTCGTTGCTAAAGCCACCCAGTATTATTGATGTGTGTAAACTGTTGGGAATCCGAATGCGTTCAGTTTAGTATGAACGCTTAGGAAATAATCCCTTTTAAAGTTATTGGTCACATTACTTTTAACCAAAGAAGCACCCTACGTTGGTGTAATTGTGCCCTACTTCGTCTAGTGCGAAGACAACCCGATGTGTAAAAACGCGTTTACGATTTAAATCATCCAGCCTTGCTATTAGCGCTTTTCTCGTCGTTTCTCTAAATTTCTCAAACAGTAATAATTCACAAAGAAAATACAAAGAAACGTTTGAACATTAAATTGTTTAATAAGTGATTGGAAGTCAGATGAAAACCTGCTCGTTTTTGCATGGTTAATTTCTCCGTCTAAAATCGTTTTGTTTGGGAAGTAATATCAAGCAATTGACATAGTGTTTCATCACCAGATGAAACATCTCTGCTAAGCCCCCGGATTGTGTCTAAAAGTACACACAAGTGACCACGAATGAACTCGAATGACCATGAGTGACTACGAGTTAGAGTTCACCAAAACATGATTTTTCTATTATAATGACATCATTATTACGTACCTTTATCAAATCAAAACTCTTTAACTGGACATAGAACATTTCTGGCGATTAAATAATTGAAAAAGAACTTGAAATTTTGTTTACTTTCACCAAGGGCGGGTCCCGGACAAGGTGGGACAGGGGGAATAGTGTACACTCTTCAATTCCCCCTCCTTTCCTGGCCTTTTTCCGTCATAAAATGTTACGAAATGCTATCGCGTTTCTTTCGCTTCTGCCATTTTGTAATCCCACTTTCCACTTTTAACCTCTCTCGTTACCGTCCCAGAGTAAAAAAATACTGACTCGACGAAATGTTCGAAAAAAATTGGGTCAACAAAAAGCTTCAAAGCAACTTTTTCACTTATAAATAAACCAGGGACCACTTGCTTACATTTTTACGTTCGACGCAGACGCTAAGCCTGGTCAATCGCTTTGTTTTCATACGTCTGAATTTCCCTTATGCACAGTTTGGATGGTTACCCCATTGTGTTGGGCCAAGGCTGCTCCCAATCCACCACGATAAGAATTATGAACAGACATTCGCCCTCTCGGCCTTTACATCCAATCAAACATCCGCAAGAAAATGAACGATGTACCACCACGGAATTCATAGAATTCATATAATCACATCACCCATTATTATCGATATGCATTTTGATTTGAAATCTCTCCCGAAACGTTCAGAGTAGTACTAATTTAGGTGCATACACTATAGTTTAACAAAGCAGCTATTGACAAGTCAAGTAACATCTGGCTCCACACAATACCCTCAACTTGCTTCGGTACCAATGTCTCGCCCAAATAGGAGAGCTTTCTCGCAGGCTATACATGTCACGACAGATAAAAAAAAACTGGCTCCGCAAGCAAATGCAAACAACAGTCCTAGATTTATGTTAGCTCTTCTCTTTTAAAGCGCATTCATACGCCAATGCAGCAGCTAGAAAAACATTCCACATGTAAAATAAGGGTGTCAATAAAATGCGGGGTCGGGGTTGTCATTTGTCAGTTTTAAACGTGTACTATGTCGGTTGTAAACCTTTAGTCTGTCAGACTGACAAAGGTAAAATTGACTAAGCGGGTGGCGGCTCTTAAAAAAAGTTTTCACGTGTTCCGTCTGTATTCTTCTTCATTGTCCTAAAAAAAATTACCCTATCTATCGTGTATGTTACAAAAAAATGGCCAGGTAAATAAGTGATATTTTTGGTGAGATTTGCTTATTTTTGAATTTATTGCAATTGCCCCTCGGTGTGTGTTAGGCGAGGTGCAAGGATTGTGTATTAACCCTAGGAAATCGGTTCAGATCATGGGGGTTAAATAGGGATCGTTTGTCATTTTTTTCAATTCTGCGTCAAAAAGGCGTATAATTTTATTTTATTTTTTTACTTTTAGGATTATCATTATCCTAAAATCCTTTAACTCTGTGTCTAGTCTGCTGGCAATCTTCGTTAGGATTGCGTAACGCGCTGTCTAGTTCGTGTCTGGGTCATTTCACAATAAGGTAAGCGACATTGCGCTCGGAGTACGCTGTACGCTTAGTGTTCGTTGACGAATTTTTAAATTTGAAATGAATTCTGGCGATAGCTCTTGGACTCAGTTCCTTCAAGTAATAGAAGACCTCATTGGTGAATGCGAAGACCACATGTACGAACATGACTATGCTCTTTATGAAAATTTGTTACAGCGTCTTCATTCTGCCAGGATTGGCTGTGAAAAAGTTACCTGCTGTCTAAGCTCATCTCTTAGCAATATAGAATATAGAACGGCCTAATGACGAAGTCGCTTTGAAAGTTAAACAATTGTCGAGCCACTTACAATATTTACAACCGACAGAGTGGTGAGCACAACCGACAGAGTAAATGTTTAAAATCGACAGAGTAGTGTGTACAATTCGACAGAGTAAATATTTACAACCGACAGAGTAGTGCGCACGACTTACAGTCAGTAATGTACAAAACCAACAGAGAAGTGCGTACAACTGACAGAGTAATGTACATAACCGACATAGTAGTACGTACAACCGACAGGGCAGTGGGTATAACCGACAGAGTAAGTATTTACAACCAACAGAGAAGTACGTACAACCGACAGAGTATAATGTACATAACCGACAGAGTAGTGCGTACAACCGACAGGGTAGTGCGTACAACCGACAGAGTAAGTATTTACAACCGACATAGACTGCAAAACAGTCGGTTTTTTCTCTCAAAATCAGTAAAGAAATCGGTAAAGCGTGGCGTAAGAGTCGCGTGTGAGGCGAGAGAAAAAAAACCGACTGTCCGTTTACCAAACTATGAGTTCGTTCCGACCAGGGGGTTCAAAAATGTCGTCCAGCTGTTAAAAATCTGTTCACAACTTCCGCCCTCTTGTGAATTTGATACACTCGGTGATTGATTTCGAGGGAGAATAGCGCGTGTTATTGTCTGCACTTGGCTTCGAATCTTGACGCTGTAATCCAGTAATTCTAAAGCAGTTTTTAGCGTTGCTTCTTTGTGAAATGTAGTGTATATGGTGAAATGTAGTATATATAGTGGAGGATCAAAAATGAGTGGAAGTGGCAGGACGACAACAAAGCCTGTGCCTGCTCCTCGAAGAGGGAGAAAGCCGAAAGAGCCGAGCGCTTGGAATAAATTATAGAATGTGCGGCTGTTGTTTCAAAACACAGTTCGGCAATTTTACAAGTGGATGGATAAGGTCGGAAAATGTGCTTGTTGCGCCTACCAGAAAAGGAGAAACGTTACCAAAGTGGGCCGACCTACTGAAAAACGAACTTTTCGTTGTCCTCGAGGAAGGAGAATCTTTCTCCACAAGAGTTTGCTCTCCGTGCGGAACAAGGTTAGAAACTGCCCCGGGAAACTGCACGGCGATGCTTTCGCAAATTAGAGAAGAACTGAACACGCCAACTGACAATGAACAATTATCGCGATTGAAAAGAATGAGTAAATCCCCTCATTCCAGTCCACGTCTTGGTGATTTAGCTCTGTAAATCACTACCTGTGAGAATTTAGAATCTGCTAAAAACGCTAACGAGCTGGGCCCAGCGTGACAAAACATTACAGGAAAAAGACACATTCACAGACACAAAGAAAATCGCTTAAAATTATTTAAATCCAGGAGGCACTTTGGAGAAATAAACCAACCTAAAACCCTTAATCAGTCGCAATGAAGAGCTTTACATTTCTAAAGGGACCAAGCCAAAATGCTCTTGCAACAGAGGGCAAATCATGACCAGAGAAAATCAATATGCGTGTCACGACCTCTCAGTATGAAATATATTTATTAAGCGGACAAAATTCACATTTGCTCAGTCAAAATGTTTCTTCCGAAGCATAATCTACTCGACAGAGAAATTGATTCATTGGAACAAGCAGCATTTTTGCACGAGGTAAAAGTCGTGTGTTTCCTACCGATCTCCCTTTTTGAGCCAGGCGAGATAACAATGACGGTTGGCCGTTGCACGGAACTTGAAGAACTCTTGGCATGAACAAACATCTGATAAGTAAGGCTTTTGTCAAATCCTGTTGGTAGAATACAGAAAACATCCTTTCCCCTAAGCAGCAACTCTAAAGCTTCCCTCTTCTCCGATTTTAAAACAAATCCCAATTCTTGCGAGCAAATCCAGGCATCAACATCCTTCATTGTACAGGGAAAGCTTTAGCAATTCATCTAGCCTGCGAAAGCATCCGTTTCTCCTTCGCTCTACTAACGTTCCCAGCGGCGTAGAGCGAAGGAGAAACGGATGCTTTCGCAGGCTACAATTCATCACGGTAGGGAATGTCGCGAATGACTTGTTGAGAACATTACTTGACAGCTTGGTGACAGCTTGCATCGAAATTTAGCCAATGGGAATTGCCCGTAGCTTGGAGAAGCGGGTAATTCGAACGAATATAACGTATGCAAAACGGACAGTCCGTATTTTTAGCGTCTCTCCCCAGTCTCTCTCTATGTTTTCAGCCTCGTTCCAGACCTTTTGTTTGACTGCTCGCCCGTACTTGAATACGCAAAAATATGGACTGTTTTGCAGTCTACAACCGACAGAGTAGTACGTACAACTGACAGAGTAAACGTTACAACCGACAGAGTACTCCGTACAACCGACAGAGAAAATGCTTACAACCGGCAGAGTGGTGCGTGCAACCGACAGAGTACCGACAAAGTAGTGCGAACAACCGACACAGTAGTGCGTACAACCAACAGAAGAGAGTTTAAGATACGGCGACTACGGACTACGACTACGGTTATACATGCTACAGCGCATGTTCAAAACTACGTGACTGTTTATTTCTCTCGCGTAAGTCCTGCGGCTACGGTGAGTTGTTGAGCTGTTTCGCGTAGTCGGGACTACGAAAAAGATTTTGCTCGTATTTTGCCGTCTCGGTAACTCAAGAATCTCGTCTTTTCGTAAAAAAGTTTTCAATTCACCTGCTTTAAGTGAGAGGGAAGCGTACGGTGGCCCATAAGGGACATCTCGATATTTTTCATTTCCACTTAATAATTTGCGATTTGACTTACTCTCGATCAAAGTTAATAAATAGCAATACAAACTTATATCTCTCGATTTCGACTTAAAACTCGCGATGGTAAGTTATAACTCTCGATCGCAACTTATAACCCGCGACCGCCACTTATAACTCGTAATTGCGACTTACAACTCGCGATCGCCACTTATAACTCCCGTTAAAACTTACTTAACTCGCGATCGCCACTTATAATTCGTGATCGCCGCTTCTAACTCGCGATCGAAACTTGCCATCGCCAGTTATAACTCGCGATAACTCGCGATCGCGATACAACCCGCTATCGCCAAACCTCGCGATTGCCTCGTCAGTTATAACTCGCGATCCCCAGTTAACTCGCGATCGCTACTCGCGATCGCTACTTAAACCTCGCGATTCGCCGATTCTCACAACTTGCGATCGTTTTCGATCACGCTTTATGCACCTATCAATGTAATGCCGGCGGGGGGGGGGGGGCACGGCATGGGGTGGGGATTTGACTTTTTTCAAAAATTTGCAATCAATCTCCCTGCCCACGGGCAAATCGTTCCAGTCAAATGCAGCCAAATTTCCCCACCCCAGGCTGCACATTGCTGTCAATCCCAAGGCAGAACCCAAGAAAGGCACAAAAAATATCTCCAAATAAAACTCTGCAATCTTTTGTGAACGTTGCTGCATCACCAAAGATACATGTTCCCGTTACAGCTGCAATTATACGTTTTAACCGACAGAGTAAATGCTTGCAACCTACGGTGTAGTGTATAAAAACCGACAGAGTAAATATTTACAACCGTCAGAGTAGTTAGTACAACTGACAGAGTAATGTACACAACCGAAGGAGTAGCGCGTACAACTGACAGAGTAAATGTTAATCCGACAGTCTCTCTCTGAACGCCAAATATCAAGAGGATACATACCAAAAAGCAACAACAATTGATGCCAATAAAGGGATGAGAGATAAACGAGGAAGACAATTAAATGATACAAGCGACAAAAATAATTTTGCGCGCCGTTTGTTTCAAAATTATTTTTGTCAGTTGTACCACTTTATTGTCTTTTTCGTTAAATTTTCCATCTTTTATTTAGTGTCATTTGCTGTTTCTTTTTATAACTCTCCTTTTGAATTTAGGCATTCATAGAGATACCGTGGTATAAACATATTCCCTGTCAGTTGTACTCATCACTCTGTCGGTGTAAGCTGTACGCTCTACTTTGTCGGTTATAAACCTTCATTCTGTCCGTTGTACGCATTCCTCTGCAGGTTGTAAATATTTACACTGTCGGTTGTACGCACTACTCTATCGGTTGTAAAATTTACTCTGTCAGTTGTACACAAAACTCTGTCCGATGTACTCACAACTTTAATTGGTTGTAAATATATACTCTGTCGGTTGCACGTACTTCTCTGTCGATTGTAACATTAACTCTGACAGGTGTACGTACTACTCTGTCGTTTGTAAACATTTACTCTGTCAGTTGTGCGCACGACTCTGTCGGTTGCACGTACTACTCTGTCGGTTGTAACATTTACTCTGTCAGTTGTATGCACTACTCTGTCGGTTGTGTATACATTGCTCTGTCGGTTGTACGCACTACTCTGTCGGTTGTAACATTTACTCTGTCGGTTGTGACATTTACTCTGTCAGTTGTACGAACTACTTCGTCGGTTGGAAGCATTATTATAACCGACAGAGTAGTGCGTACAACTGACAGAGTTAATGTTACAACCGACAGAGTAGGACGTACAACCGACAGTGTAAATGTTTACAACTGACATTAAGAGTATGATGTACTGACATCAAGAGTCGGTTGTAAATATTTACTCTGTCTGTTGCACGCAATACTCTGTCAGTTGTGTATATTACTGTGTCGGTTATGTACATTAATTTGTCGGTTGTACGCACTACACTGTTGGTTGTAACATTAACTCTGTCAGTTGTACCTACTAGCCTCTGTCGGTTGTACGCAGTACTTTGTCGGTTGCACGCTTTACTGACTTTCGGTTGTACTCACTACTCTGTCGGTTATGTGCATTACTTTGTCGGTTGTACGCACTACACTGTCAGTTGTGTATACATTGCTCTGTCGGTTGTACGCACTACTCCGTCGATTGTCCACAGTAACACTGTCGGTTGTACTCACTACTCTGTCGGTTGTCACATTTACTCTGTCAGTTGTACCCACTACTCTGTCGGTTGCAAAGATTTACTCTGTTGGTTGTACGCACTACTCTGTCAGTTGTGTATACATTGCTCTGTCGTGAGTTTGACTAATAGTCGTGGGTCGTGGGTCGCGGGTCGCGGGTCGCGGGTCGCGGGTCCAAAGTCGCGGTCGCGGGTCCAAAGTCGCGGTCGCGGGTCCAATGTCGCGGTCGCGGGTCCAAAGTCGCGGTCGCGGGTCCAATGTCGCGGCAGGGGAAAATGATTTGGGGTTCGAGGTAACAGCTGAGTGAAAACGACTGATATGAACACAATATAAAGGGAAAAAATCTTTTTTATGCATGATGCTCTACGGTAGCCAATTTACGAGCCCCAGTTAGCCTTTTTTAAAAAAGGTTTTAAGTTGTTGTAACGTTTATAATTATAGTCCATGAAGTGTATCGCACATTTTTCAGAGAATGCACCCCTAAGCATTTGTGAGCAATTCCTAGACAAGAAGAAAGCAATGGTAACTTATGGTAACTTTTTTATCAGATACTGTTATGCATAAGTATATTCAAAGCTTAATTTACACATAACTGGGCCCGATAGAAAGAAAACAAAATGAACTTGCGGTGAACACAAAAGTCGGCCGGCTTTTTCTTTTAGGTCTTTTCTTGAGACACTATTTTGTTGACTCTAACATCCGTAACCTGTAAATTGGCTACCGTAGAGCATCATGCATAAAAAAGATTTTTTCCCTTTATATTGTGTTCATATCAGTCGTTTTCACTCAGCTGTTACCTCGAACCCCAAATCATTTTCCCCTGCCGCGACATTGGACCCGCGACCGCGACATTGGACCCGCGACCGTGACTTTGGACCCGCGACCGCGACTTTGGACCCGCGACCCGCGACCCGCGACCCGCGACCCGCGACCCGCGACTATTAGTCAAACTCCTCTGTCGGTTGTAACATTTACTCTGTCAGTTGTACTCACTACTCTGTCGGTTGCAAAGATTTACTCTGTTGGTTGTACGCACTACTCTGTCAGTTGTGTATACATTGCTCTGTCGGTTGTAACATTTACTCTGTCGGTTGTGACATTTACTCTGTCAGTTGTACGCACTACTCCGTCGGTTGGAAGCATTTTTAGAGTAGTGCGTACAACTGACAGAGTTAATGTTACAACCGACAGAGTACTACGTACAACTGACAGTGTAAATGTTTACAACCGACATCAAGAGTACGTACAACTGACAGAGTTAAAGGAGCTATGTCACACACTGCGCATGTGCGCGATGAAGCGTTACATCTTGAAAACGTTCGCCAACTTTTTCAAGTTCTGCGGGTGATTCAATATCAGGAGTTTATCGTTATTCATCGCAGCCATCCGTTTACAGTTCGCATAGTTAAACGTTAGTTACTATTGTACAGCCCTTTTAGAAGGTTCCTGTGTGTTTTTGTTTCAATGACTCTGATCAACGGCTTATTTGAGGTCAACTGTTTGGAGGTAACAAATGTCCTCTCATGGCGGTCGCCGATCAGGAAGCGGCCGCAAGAAAATCTTCGCTAGCAACTCAGCGAGGCTTCAGTTCTGGCGTAAGACTCGTAAAAGGATTTCGTTGGATGGAACACTTTTCTACTCTTGGGTTTCTACGAGGATCAAGTGCGGATACGACAACGATTCCATGTTTGCTGCCCATCTTCTATCGCTCGAGACAAGAAGAAGGTAAATGCATAAAATGTCTGTTCAATCTGTTTGCTGGCGGTCTTATTTTGAGTTAATCAGTTGTTTTGAATGTATGTATCTATTTTCTTTTACAGGGATAGTGCATCTACCGTTTGTAAAAAAGGAGAGAGAGAGGCATCATCCACAAACCAGTTCCTTCCTCAAAACGAAGCCACATTGAAGGTGAGACTGCAGCTGTACTTGATTCTAGATTGAATAAATGTCTTCACATTACTATTATTTTGCGGCCCTCCAGAAAATTATCCTGGAACCAAAGCTTCTTAACAGTTTTAAATATTATGTGCGATTCAGGTAAAATACCAAACCTTGGTAATGATTGTTTTTCCTGAGAAATTATTAGTTATTGAGACAACATTCTTGCCAATAAATGTGACACTGGCTGAGAGGCAACCCTTATGTCTAATCTTTGGCTCTCAAGATTTGGGAGCTTATTTACTTAGGATATTACTACCAACTAAATAAAACCAGTTCTTGGCATGTTGATATTCAATTTTTTTTTAAATTTTAATTTTTAATATTTTTAATTTTTAATTTTTAATATATTCATTGATTGATAAATTTTTTCATTGATTCATTTATTGATCAATTTTTAATTAAGCATTGACCAGAGTCATCCAAGATAATGCACATTGTTTTTCCAGTTTTTCATAATTTATTGCAGTTCCTGTGGTGTCTCTGGAGACTTTTATTGAGTCATACAATGTATCACAGTTCTTTGCAGTTACTTGGAGAATAGAAATTGGTCATTAAAAAGGAGACTGCATGCTAATCCTAGTAGCATTTCCATTCATTTCCATGGCAATAATGCCTTGCATGCATTATATTACAATAAATTTTTCATGGTTAGTGGTTCTTTTACCTTTGATTGCAGACACACAGGCAAACTCAAGTGTGCCAACAGCCTTTCACTGGTTTATACTTCAAAACGATGCTCTTACAGGTTTGTTTATTATGTTAACGCCTGTGAAACGAGGAAAATTTGACACTTCGTCAAATGTCATGCGAGACCTTTTTGATCCAGTTGAACTAATAATAATATATAGACAATGTACATGTAAACATGACAAGAAAGAATCCCACCTGGCATGCTGCAACCAGCTAGCTATTAAAGCGTGGCAGTTTTATGGTTCAAAACCAGTGACTGGTAAGATCAAGTCTAGAACCTAACCTACCAGATTGGGATTCAGCTGCACTTACTACTCAGCAATAAAGGGAAGAATTTCCAAAATTTGAAACGACTTTTATTGAGACTGATTTTACAATGCAGATTATGAAACAAAAATAATAAAGGAAAAGTGAATAGTAATCTTTTTGTTATCATACTTGTGTTACAGTAACAAAGTTCACAAAGCATGCAAACAGCTTGCAGCCATTTATTGGAATTTCCATATGAACCTTGAAGCAGCAACAACAAAAGCAGGAGAGCAGATAGTAACCAGAAAGTACAATCAGCGAACAAATGATTGGGACGTGAAAATTATCACAGTCAAGAAAAAGTTTGAGTACATTCCAGTGATGATGGTGAAGATTTTTAACATGAGAAAAGAAGATACTGATAGTGTTACGAGGTGGCTGTCTTTGAATGAAAGCGACCCTGCTTTGCTGGCTCTCACCATCGCTGAAAAACAGGCACCCCCTTCAAAGGAACTTTTTATGGCACGTAAGAGCAGATTTCAATCTGGTACTGAAGATCATTCAGAGAATTCCTCAAGTAGTAATAAAAATTCAAAGAGGACAGACGGAAAATTGTTGTTGCTCAAAATATCTAAAACTAAGTTGGAACTTTTCATCAGTAGGATATTGCCCTAAAGGCTGAAATGTGTCTTTTTCAATCGTCTTGCTCACTTTGCTGTAATTGCTGATAATGGGTAATTTGTTCATGTTTATTTATAAGTTGAAAGGTTATTAATTTTTCTTTTGTTTTGGGGGTATGTTAAAATGAATGATTATGTGATTGCAATTTTGCACCGAGGATAGCCTGAGTGGCTCGGCCACTACAGATGTTTAAGTCAGTCACTGACTTAACAGTCCTTATTAACACCAACAAGTTTAGATGTATGAAATAAAATGGTACAAATAATGTTTGCATACTTTACGTACATGTACAGAGTGCAAAGAAAGTCAGTTTCACAGCTTCGGGGAAGCTGAAGGTAGCATTTAGTAGCCCAGATGTCATTTCAACTAGCCCCAACACTTTTGGTGAGCAGAATTGATTTAACACTGTTATTCTGTCATGTGAATTCCTCAAAAAACTTGACTTACCCATAGGCCCTGGGCTATGAGACACTACTTTCTTTGCAGGCTACTGTATTATAGTACAAAGAACTACAATGAAGGAGAAAAGAACTTGGGACTGTGTGAAAAAGCCCTTCCAAGTAACTGTTACATAGGACTCTGCTCCTAATGACAATTTTTTGATCAGCTTTGGGCTAATTCCGTCATCCCCCCACTCCCCCCCCCCCAGCAATGTTGTGGCCAAATAAAGCAGTCAATTCCACCCATTTGCTCAAAATTCAACTTTATTTGGGGTGGGAGGGGAGAGGGTTTGCTAGTTTTACTAATATCACTGAAAAGGTCCCAACACTTTTGACCTCCATTGTAGATGACATTTTCTAACAACAATTTCATTGCATTGTTATTTTTGAAATCAGTTCATGAAACAACCACAACTAAGTTGATTGCAAATTTTGTAAATCATGACTTAACCTGAATTTCAGACGATTACTTCGAGTCATCTCCTCTCAGCAATCGTCTGAAATTCATGCTGATGTAACACTTTGATTTCTTTACTTCACAAAATGATGTAAATGTCTTACAATAAAAGCATAACATTGTAACAAACTAAAGGAGTGGATCAAGAAAAATAATCTATAATCCCCTGAGTGAAGGTTTTTAGGTTTTCCCCCTACTCTCTTTTTAAAATTTGGCCTTTACAACCACCCTCCACATGAAATAAGCCTATTATTGACCTTTCTTGGGGTGGAAATGGATATGTTATGGAAACATGAAAAAGATGGTTGCCGACTCCGTTCATGACTTAGAAATAACAAAATATTATAATAAAGTTCTGAAGAACTAGAGAAAGAACAAACTGGGGAAATACAAGTCTAGCTATTCTCGTGAGATGCAGAACACAGTTCCATGGTGGTTGTCTCATTCGGGTCTGTCCCCCATGTACACACCTGTCTGCGAAGGATAATGTCTGCGCACAGTTTTGACCACACACGAAGGACAGACCTTTCTGTTACCCTTCCCTAGATGTCCATAACGATCAAGAATAAATTGCCTGTATGCAGCCTTCCTGAAGGCCCTTGTACTGTTATCATCACTGTGCTGCTGCTCGATTTCTAACACATCTGGGTCGAGACAAAGCTTGCTCAACCTTGCAAATGTTGTAACACATCTTCTCTGACCACAACAATACAAAAGCTACATTTACACCAGGGAAGTGAGTTTGATGCAGCAGAAGGGTTAGGTGCTGGTCCCGCAACTGCTGAAGCATGTTGGCTATCAGTGGATTCAGACTCCTGTGGGGTTTCTCTGTACACATCAAAATGCTCACTCTCAGTGTCACTATCATTGTCATCGTCCATAATTAGCAGACTATGTATGTAGTCCATGCTCCCTAATCCACATTGTAGACTTCTGACACACAGTTTGTGCACCATTGGCTCATCCAAAGTTTGAATACAGTCCTGTCAAAGAGAGGTAAAATATCAGGAAAACAAACAATAGTGTATATTTTTGTTCAGTATAATGACTACATTTGTAGAGGAGAAGTGTGACACTAAAATGTAGACTGACAAGGTATACTGCCATACCAAAAAAAACAATCGGTGAGCATTTATCCAAAAATATATTAACACAGTACAGGACCTCATAATAATTCTGCAGGACAGATCGTGGGGATTACAGCACATTTCCTTTACTAAAACAACAAACGTTTTCTCTCCAAAGATTGCAAATTTGCACCTCTTTCAAGAAATTTGTATAAAAATCAACAATAGATCCAACATTTTATCAACCTTTCGAGAACAGATTACCTTGTTTCGACACGGCTTTGACTGAGACCCACATTTACAGTCCTGCCCACATGACACTTCGGTACTTGTTCTTTTTGTCGAGCAAGTGCTCTTGCATGTGCAGTAAATACGATTCGGCTACAAAAGAGAACATACACGACAAGTTTGTCAAGACTAGTATTCTTAAATGTTGCCCAAAATAAGAAAAACTCTCAGGAAATCTCCGTACTGGAGACATTGTGACATGGCGATCTATCGATAGATAGGAAGCGATTACTAACCTGACTAGAATCGTGCGCCTCCATGGCTTACTAAAACGGCGAAAGACTGACATGGTATTGTAGTTTCTCTTTAAGTCCTCAAAAGATGTAGAAAATAGAGGTTTGCTGCCAAAAATCGACCAGGTTTGTTAAATCCAATATGGCGGAAAGTTGAGAAAATCAGCAGAACAGCCTAAAACGCTGCACATGCGCAGGTCGTGACATAGCTCCTTTAATGTTTCAACCGACAGAGTGAAACGTACAACCGACAGAGCAAATGTTTGCAACCGAGAGAGTAGTGCGTATAACTGACAGAGTAATGTACACAACCGCCATAGTAAATATTTACAACCGACAGACTAAATGTTTATAACCGACAGAGTAGTACGTACAACCGACAGTGTAAATATTTTCACCCGACAGAGGAATGCGTACAAACGACAGAGTGAAGGTTTATAACCGACAGCCTAGGACGTATAGCTTACACCGACAGAGTGATGCGTACAACTGACAGAGAATATGTTTATACCACGGTATCTCTATGAATACCGAAATTCAAGAGAAGACTTATAAAAAAGAAACAGCAAATGATACCAAATGAAAGAAGGAAAATTTAACGAAAAAGACAATAAAATGGTATAACTGACAAAAATAATTTTGAAACAAACCTCTGCACGGGGGACGATGAATGTGTTAAGGGACTCGTAGGAGGAGCAGTTTTTTTCTTATAAAGAATGCATATGTAATGCTCAGAATGAAAATGTAGTATCAGAAAGTATGTCACATAGTGTCAGTGATATTGAAGTGGCTTTATCTTCCCTTATATCCTACCAACAGCTCATTAATCAAATGTCTCTTATTATTTGTAGGTGGAAATTGGTGAAACATCGTGATTGTTTTTGAGACAATAAAGGAACAAATGATACCAGAAAGATCAAGTTGTGCGGTCTTAAAGCGTGTTGTGACTTTATTCAGTTACCAGCATTTCTCTTAAAAGGAGACTAGCGCGAAAGCTTCGATTATAGATTTGCTTAAGTTAAATTATATCGTTGTATCGCTAACACTTCAGCAAGAGAGTCAAAGGACGCGACGTGCGCGGCATCCTTTGTGAGCGCGCAAATAGTCATGGCACTGCGATTTTACAGCCGACGCGGATCAATAGGCAGAATTCGGTAGTATCCTTTTCCCTTTAACATGAGACCGAAGCTGAATAAAAATGGCTATGGCGTAAAAAATGAAACAATTTGAAAGAAATGTTTCTTTTGTCTGAAAATGGATCGTTAAACATGAAAAACGCTCGGCATAATCCATAAAAAAAAAAAAACTTTGAAGATTGTATTACTGACCCTTTGAATAAAGATATTGGACACATCCCAGTAGAGGACGTTATTTATCACATCGCTCCACATTAAATCGGCGGCGCTTTTGTTAAAAGTATCTTGGAGAAGCTAGTCTAAGGAGATATATGAGCATGTTGGTTTTCTTGTGGAGTGGTTTCTTAGCATTTACTTGCAACCTCGTCCCCAGGGCGCTTTTCCCTGGCTTTGGAGGTGGGGCGGGAAAAGGCCCTGGCATCGGCCTGAGTAATGGTAATTTTCTATCGCTTAATTTAAACCTCTTCAAGTAAAGTGTTTCGAATCTATCATGAAAGGCCAGGATGTTATTGGACTCTTACCAAATAGATTTGGCAAGTCGATGCTATTTCACGGCTGTGCTGTTCTCTCCACGATACAGAACAACTAAAGTTGCTCTCGGTAAGCACAAAGCCAAACCGGCAACTAATGAGGTTCGCGTGGAGAACCGAAACCATGGTCTTGCCTGATCCCAAAGTGGCAATAACCGGGAATAACACAGTCCAAATACTTTAGGCTTATTCAAATGCTGTTACTAATGAAGGAAATACGCGCTCCAGTCAAAAGACTTGTATTATCTTCAGAAAAATCACTAAGCTAGAGTCTACTAAGTCACAATGCAATTCTCCGTAGTTGATACAGTTTCAGTTTAAGCTGCACTTCATTCTTATAATTTTGGATCTGTAAATCACTATCCGTGAAAATCTGAACATCCTGCAAAGAAAACTAACGCGCTGGATCCAGCGTGATACAACATTGCATAAAAAACATTATATTCACGGACTAAAGAAAAGCTTTCTCCGTTATTCAGATCCAAAAGGTACTTGGGAGAAAATTATAACCCTTATTTAGCCGTGATAAAAAGCTTTACGCTTTAAAAGCGGTCAAAGAAAATACTCTTGCATCAGAGGGCAAATCCTGCCGGCCAGAAACAAAAACCACAGTAGATCGATATGTGTGACATGACCTCTCAGAGTGAAACAAGGGGCTAAAATCACATCTGCTCAGTGAAAATGTAGAACCTTCCAAAGCAGAGGAAAAAAACGTATTGGAACGAGCAGCACTTTGGCAAGAGGTAAAAGTAGGCCTACCACCCCCTTTTATTGCGGCTCATCCACTGCATCGAAGCTTTCGGGTGGCATATCCTTTGAGAGACGCTTCGACGGCTGATGTGAACACGGTGAAAGTTGAACGCATCTCTTTACAGAATATTCTGAGTTCAAATCATACGGCGTATTGTCTACAGATTGAGCTCTCCGAATAAACTGATCCATTTTGTCTACGAATAAAACGCTACTTGTACATAACACTGCTGACCTCGTATCGTCCTCAGAAATTTTTATACGGTCTTATACCACAGGTTTTATAAACTTTCGAACAGCCTTGCTGAATATTCGAAAAAAATGGTCGCTCTAATATATCAAAATCTTCAAACCTTTTCTGTCCCATGGGTTAAGCAAAAGGTCCCTAGCTCCCGGAATACCCCAATTATTCTACAGTCCTGCACAACAGGCTTTAATTTTAACGAGGCATTTATCAAACACGGAGTCCTATATTGACGTTTTTTATGCACCCTACCTATGGAGATATATCGTAAAATTTGTGTTCAATCAATATCTGACCTTTCATGTATTATTATTTGACCGTAGTACTCCAATTAATTCCTAGGAGTGTTCAATAATTTGAAAAGAAGGCATTCAGTAAGCAATAATAAAAAAGGAATCGTAAATCCCCCTGCCCCCCGCAAAAAAAAAAGAAACAAAACGGAAAAAAAAAACACCGCCTGCGCCCGCCCGCTCTCTCTCTCTCCCCCTCTCTCCCCCTCTCTCCCCCTCTCCCTCCTTCTCTCTCTCTCTTCTTTCTTTTAGAGAAATCAGTTGTTCTTGGTCTTTACTTGGCCTTTTGTGACGATAATAATTTTAATTATTAGTACTATATATAAACACTCTACTCTACAACTATACAACTCTATCATACCTATATGTTCCTCTAGTGGAGTGTGAAAATCACCAGCTGATTGGACATTTGAAGCCGTCAGTTTGTTGAGAGACCAATCGTAACTCAGTTTAAGCCGTGCTCCTGTAAAAGTGAGAACACAGTCACATTCCTCACGCTTTTTCTCGAGAGCTTGCCCGTCGAGGCGAACAGTGCACACGGTTGGACGAAGTTGGATTTCCCCAGACGGTCCTTCCGTGATAGTAAACTCCTGAGAGAATACGTCATTGTTTCTGTTGTGACTTATGATTCCGCTGTTATAGACAACGTGAGGAGAGGAGTTGAGTCGAAATCTCACTAGTTTGGATGGTTCAAACTTGGTAAAGTCTATCAAACGCATTGCAGTGTTGGAAGCATCTTTGAGTAGAAGCTCGTTTCCCTTTTGGGAACCATCCATTACTTCACTTTGTTTCTCCGATAAGTTTCTTAATCTCCTGAGCAACCTACAATCTTGCCGGCAACGTTCGAAAAACTTCTCCAGAAAATCTAACATGCGGGGGATCATGAGGCTTCTACGCCAAATTTGAATTTGGGAGGCGGTAGTTTGATCACCTCTATTATTTTCACACAACTTTGCGAGAACGTTGCCCACCTCAACCACAATACTCCCAAGGTTTTTGGCTTCTTGGGCGTCTTTAATTTTGAGTCTAAATGCATCTAGTTCTTCCCCAAACAGCCCCCTGAGGCCATTGGGCACGTCTGTTTTACTCTTGTGATGAAATATCTCCTTAATGTCTTGAACCAGTTTTGGAATATCGATCTGGCATGTTTCTGAGATGCTTTCTGAAGCTGATGATGAGCATATCATGTCATATCTTTCTTGAATCGATTTTTGTCTTTCGGCGAAATCGTCGAGCTCAGAACCCTCTAGCTCAATAAGGCAGTCTTCCAACGCCATCTTGCATACAGCTTGCATCTCTGTCGGGAAATACAGTTTTTTTATTTCAGCATTTTTGCACTGCTTTTCTTTTCCCACCACTTGTCTAAGATTTCTGATATGCATCTGACCAGTTTCTGTTATCTTATAATCTGATGACAAAACAAACGAAGTAGAATTATAGTGAATTGCATAACTTGTTGTTACTGACAGAATGAAGTTGTAAATTGAAAAAAAAAAAAAAGAAAAAAAGAAACAAGAATAGGGAATCTTGGATCTCGTTCGGGTTACGGAGCCCAATTATACTAAGTGAGGAAAGTGAAGTGGTACATATTTAAAGACCGAGCAAAATTAATGTAAGGAGCTTCAGACCTTTGCGGGGAATTGAACCTGCGTAACCGACGAATCCTAAGGAAATGACTGTTTATTGCAACAGCCTTCGGGTAACCCTAAGCTTAACATTTTCACACCACGCCATCGTTCATCAAAGACAAATATCAATGAAAAGGACGACAAAGTTGCGTCATATATAATGCTTGCCAAAGGTAGGCTCAAGTAAGGATTTTGACGTCCGTCGTATTCTTTTCCGTGAGCCTTTTTTCGTGTCCTGCAGAAAAAAAGCCAAACTCGCCTGCAGCTTGTGTGCCACTTCTTTGCCCATATTTTCACGTCATCCGTGATAAGAGAGTAGCAAACTAATGTAAGCTTGATAGAAGAGGACTTTAACATAATCTTCCTCTGACTACAAGAAATCAAGCAGCAAATCCTTTATCTTTTTTTTTTTCTGAAGAGACGATAAATTGAGCACTTTATTGAATACGTAATAGAGTTTCAGATTTCAGTATCGAATCTCGAGAGAGATGCGGACATTTTATGGGTCCTAGAGAACTTTGCATAAGATGATTCGTTACACATAGGTCTTGTTCTGTATAGTTATGGATAATACTATAGTTTTAGGCTAACTGGTTCTGTCTTTCTTTGTACGTTATACCATAGATAGCAACAATCTCTGAAAAGTATACTTGGTAGGGGAAGGCAATTCGATTAAATAATGGGAGAGAAACACTTGGGAATATCATTGAGATACGGTGGGAAATAAAAGGGATCCTAGAACTGAGCCTTGTAGTACACTGCACAAGGTCGTCTCAGCCTCAGACACGGTGTTATTCTCTTGGGTAGGTTCTTTACAATCGGTTAGATATAATCAGAACCGGTAGTTGATTACTCCCCTACTGCCGTAATCTTCAAGTTCAGCTAACAGGCACTCACCATAGCTACCCACGTAACCTAAAGAGAATCATCCCTAAAAAAGTTCTTCGCACTAAGCCCAACCGAAGGCAGGTTCAGGTAAGAAAATTGAGTGATTCATCCTGCTGTCGCGATGAAGACATGACGGTGAACAAACAATCGCAGCTACTTCTCCAAAACTCTCTAGTGTAAGAAATGGACTTGATGCAAGGAAATGTAAAAGATATTTACTAGTAAAAAGTATAACATACCTTCATGTTCCAAGCTGTGAAGGATTTCACTTAGATTATGGTCATCAGTTGTCTTCTTCCACTCTTCTAAAACTATTTCCAGCTGTTTGTTTTCGTCATTCCAGAATTTCTCAATTTCATTCAACGTCTGTTCGGGAACCAGCAGCCTACGAGCTATTGGTTTCACGTTAAAAATGACTCCCTGGACACCTAGTGAGCCTCTTACGCTAGCCACCTCTGTCGAATATCAAACTGAAATTAGCTTAATAATTTTAATGATAATGAAAATAATCCAAGCACTTGGTAAGACAAGTTGGTACCTCAGCCTATCAAGAGAATCTGGACACCCTCGCCCTTTTAAAATTATTTCCTTCTGAAAAACATTACTTCCCCAGAAACTGCAATGTCCACAATAACCGTCTTACTTGGAGTAGGACCATTGGCAAGCGCTAGTAACCCTTTAGCCACCCCCACTAGGGATAGGGTTGGTTGGCATCCTGGATAGTGGTGGCATCACAAACAAAATGGCATTTCCTGAACGATGTGACGACGACTATGTTTTCTAATAGTAGAAGGAAAGACGTAAACGGTACTGGAGTCAGTGACGAATATACTTAGCCCGGCGGGGTGGCAGGGGAACAGCAGCCATCACCTCTCCGTAGTCCCCTGGCTGCTGTTGAAGAGAACGGGTTGAAAAAGAGAGCAGAGGATGTTCGCTCGAGGAGAACAGGATTCTGATGGAATGGTATTTTCATTGTGGCCCGGAGAGGAAAGGATACTGGCAGAGAATCATGGTAAGGTTGAGGGAAGAGAAAGGACTTATTAAAGTAACGCAACCGAGTTGCAAGCCAAGTCCGTACTGAACTGAAAAGTATCCGGTTCGAACGGTCGAGCTGGGAGAGAACTTAGTCAACTAGAGCAGATCCAATGTAATGAGTGTCGTAGGGTTAGAATTAAAAACCAGCTGTTGAGAATGTACAAAATCGAACTCAAGGGCGTTGGAGTTGTCATCGAGGAACTGAAACAGCGCATAAATGCGAAGCCCCATAAGACTAAAAGATACAGCCATCAAATTACACAATTTTGGCAGAATCGATTATTTGATACGAACCAGAGACAGTTATATAACGAGCTAGGTGACCAAAAGGGTAGTGAACATCCTATCCCTGATGCTACTGAAGTCAGAGAGTTTGGAGTAAGCTGTGGGACCAGCCGGTGGAGCACAGCAGGGATCTAGTATGGCTAAATAACTCGAAGGAAAAGATCGATGTAGACCAAGAAGATGGCTTATCAAACATTAATAATAATTATTATTAGATCAATAATTTATTGATCTTGACAAACTCGGAGCAACCTCAAGAAGATGCCAAACTGGCAGCAGGACCAGACTATGTTAAAGGAATCTGGCTAAAGAACATGAATAAACTACATGAGCGTGTAGAGGATGCAGCTGCAAGAATGCATTGAATGCGGGACTGTTCCTGAGTGTATGTCCATGGATATTGGATAATGTGGATTGCACTTAGGGATTAAAGTAGATGATTTGTACCAGCACCTTAAAGCTCAATACCAGCACCTTAAAGCTCAATACTACCTAATGAAAGGAAAGGCTGCCGGAAGAAAAGTAGGGGAACGAAAGATCGATATTGACTATAGATAGAACAATATTATGTGACTGAAAGCAAGAGAAAACTAACTTGGCGATTGCTGAATAGATTACAAAAAAAGCCAACGATTCAGTTCCCCATTCGTGGATAATGGAAACGCCGTAGCCTGTAGGTGCTGCAAACAAAATCAAACGGTTAATAAGGGAAAGTTTGAAGACCCAAAATCACAGTTAACAGCATGTGGCAGGGATCTGGGTAAAGTGGCAATAAGGAGAGGGATATCCCAGAGGGATTCCCTTTCTCCTCTGTTGTTTGTGATTTCAATGTTGCCCCTTAGTTGCATTTGTATGCTACGTGATTTTGGAGCTGATATCAGTTGGGGAAAGGAAGAGGGTAATGTGAATCACCTAAATGTGTGTTTAGCAGTGACATCAGTACGGATTCTGGAATTTAAAAGAATGCCGTGATGGTAATGACAGGAGTCAAGTTAGTTAAGTCATAGGGAATAAAATTACCTGTTAGAAAAGCGTATTGGACATAAAGACTTTTTTAAAAAAAATATTTGGTCTTGTTCGACGCTGATTACATCATGCATGGGGCAATGAAGAGTAGAATGAAGGGAGAGTATACTCTGAGAGTGAAGAAATTCCTTACTTCAAAACTTAATTGTTGCAATGTCTTTAAGGATATCAACAATTGGATAGTTGAAAAAATGGACGAAAAATGAACTGACTGACGTGGATCACAAAACCAGTAGGCTCCTGACAATGCATGATGCTTTACACCCCAATTCAACGTTTTTATCAACCAAGCGGAGAAGGAGGGTGTAGATTGCTTAGTGTCGAACGAAACTATCCTGAAACTATACTGAAGAAAGGTATATTAATTTATATGTCAACCAGAGCAAGGAGTGCCTCTTAAAAGCTGCATGAAGAAGGGTGAATGTTGCTGATGATGAAACACCAAATCAGTATAAGGATAGGAAGTTTAAGATAAAGGCAGAGGATCTGACGAGCAAGTCTTGGAATTGGATAAGAACAGAAGAGTTGAATAAAAAAAAAAAAAGAAAAAAAAAAGAAAGACAGAAGAAGAGCTCATCTTTGCAGCTGAAGATCAGGCGTTAAGGACAAACATTATACAGTCCTGGAACGAGAAACAGAACGTGTCACCTAAGTGTAGAATGAGTGGAAGCCACGATAAAACTGTGCAGCATATTTTGTGTGGCTGTTCCAAACTTGTGCAATGTAAAGAGACATGACACAGGTGAGCGCGTGGTTCATTGGAAATTGTGAAAGGACTACAAAATCAGTTGCAGTGACAAATGCTAAAAGCAGAAAATGTGGTAGAGAATGAGGAAGTCAAACTGCTGTGGAATTTTACAATCCAAGCCGATCGAGAAATTCATCACCGCAACCAGACATTGAAATATTCAAAAAGAAGACAAGTGAGACGGTTATTGTAGACATTGCAGTTCCTTGGGAAGTAATGTTTTGGAGAAGGAAATAATTTTAAAAGTAAGAGAAGTATCAAGACCTGCGGAGAGATCGGATTAAGAGTTTGTGGAATACAAAGACGAATGTTGTGCCACTGGTAGTGGGGTACTAGGATCAGTTTCAAAGGCGTTACATTCAGAATGTTTACTTCGATGGCACAGTCACTGCGTTACATTTACGTTACGCAGCAAAATATACAGCAGACTTAAAGGACAGAAGACACCAAGATCGGCTTACGGTATATTTCTGTCTTTTAACTTGGCACTTCGTGCCTCGTCCGGAAAGCTTCGCTTTCCGCCGTTGCTCTGGCAACGGTTTTGGCGACCGCGAAGAAATAGCTAGCAGTGTATTTACTTTCAAAATGGCGGTTTGCATGGTTTTGCGTATAACGTGTCGATCAGGAGATATTTTGTTTGAAATGGTTCCGTAAGAATCCCATCGAGCTAACTATTTTCGTTTATCGTCGAGGATATACTTTTTAACTGAAGAAACGTTAATATATTATTTATATGTTGAAACCAAGAGAGGATAAAGGGGACAGAGAAGGCATCCCCATACAGACCCTATTCCATAGGTAATTCGTCTCGAGTTATTTTTAACACCACAAATCTCAAGGGGGATTAGACAACAGCCATTCACATAGCGCAAATGTGTTGCGCGTGGATGACCCATGCTCAGAGCCACGCGCCCTTCACGAATTGACGCAGAACTAAAAAGCGGAAGACGCGGAGAGCGATATTGCTATTCGTCTTGTTGAGGAAAACGACTACAGCGAGATTTCTGCTAAAGCTGTGTCAGCGAAACCGAAATTAAAAAAGAATTGCCCTTCCTCTCTTGTATAGAGCTAACAGTACAGCAGGGAAGTCCCTAATACAATGAATATTCTCTTAGGATCATGTCACAGTTTGAAGAGAGTAATTTCTGGTTTGATATTTATTCTTTTATTTGTCTTTTATTATTCAACAAAAATCATGATAACACTTGGCGTCCTACTTGCTTTATTGTACAAACGACCGGTTTCAATCCGACCGGCGAAATTTCTCATTTTATTAAAGCACTGAGGTTACGACAACTTCGAGTTTAACTGATTTCATGGGCTGTCAAAGAGTCCAGCGATTCCCTTTTCCCAGGTGAGCGCCGACTCATTTCGCTTCAATATTCAGGAATGCTCTCGATCTCTTTACGCTTTCATTGTTTTTCGCCCGACATGTTTTGCACGGCGTTTAGTCATTCGAAACCTCCACGAAAGATCCACGCAGCGCGCGAGGTAATTTTATCCCGGTTCTAAAAATAACTCGAGACGAATTACCTATGGAATAGGGTGTGTATGGGGGATGCCTTCTCTGTCCCTTTTATCCTCTCTTGGTTCAAACTAAACTCCTCTGGACCCTTTTGGCAGAAAGTGCAATCGATTCTGGTTCAAAACGCAATTAATTTTGGTTAAAATATCGAGATTTAGATTAGCCTGTGAGTAGGCTCCCTTGAGCGATCTCAGCGAAAACTTTGGCGGCGCACGAGAAGAATAGGACGAGGAAAAAAAGGCTGCGAGCGATCTATTGAGTTTTTTCTCTCGTTGACCGACCAGCGCAGTGATCTAATTGGTTAAAATAAAGTGACAGGCTTTAACAGGTTACATTTCTGCATAACTATGATACAACCCACGGACACTGAGCATTACTTCACGCATCAAACTTAGTGGAAAAAGCGTCGGTAGGCCCGCACGCATTTTACCTAATGTTAATCATTGGTCCAATACTAAGAAAGATTCTTAATTTTGACTGAGAAAATCTTATTTTTGCCATTTGTCTCACAATCAGAGGCCATGAAGGTGGTCTGTTTCATTCCTATTAATTTTCTGTAATTTCTGTTTTTATGACTTGACGTCTGATGAAGTTTAGCATAATTAGCATCTCCACAAGCAACTTTCTTTTACTTTTGTTTACATTTGCACTGTACATAGTGTGGTGACACCTCAGAAGAGCGAATTTTTAAAATCACTAACCCACGTCTAGGTTCACTTTTCCAAGCCCCATTTTTCTCGCCGGCTTTGCCGGCTCGAGCCAAAATGTTTCCCCGAAATCACACAAGTGAAGGCTATGATTATGTCCGCTACTCGCACGCTATTATCGTTCCGCGGCAATTATAATATGCAACAAAATCCACCTCACCTGATTCTCCGAAATGCATCGAGCACCAACGTCTACTCTCTCGGTGTATTGTGATGTTACCGCGTACAACACTGACGTCACTAATCCTGTCTAGGTTTATTTCCTCAACATGACCCCTTGCCCACCAAACCTTAGACTGCACTGTTATATGTCGCTCTTTAGTGTCAGCCGATTTGTAGTTTTCCTCAAGACGAATAGAAACCCGAAGCTTTTCTTTGTTGTAGACACATTTGTCGTGTTGGCTGCCAATGGATGTTAGATGAAGCTCTTTGAACCCATTTCTTTTCAGTTGTACCAAAGCAGACGTGTCAGAATGCTCTCTGTAGAACTCTTCGTTGTAGACGTCTTGGCTCAAAAACACTAGGTTTAGAATGCTTCCTTCGTCACTCTTCTTGATCAACACTGAAAGTGTGTAGTGAAATGAAAACGAGGTGAGCCAGTATCCAAAATATTTTAAGCAGATCAAAGTCCTTCTTACAAAAACCATCCGGGTTGAGAAATGTTCCATTTCAGTAGTAACTTCTTCACTTGCCTCATCAATGTTTGAGAAATGGGTGACGTCCTTCCAGGATATTCCATTCCCATCTTCTGTTCCATGCAGGACGATAACATCGGTTTTTTTAAAATCACTTATTGTGAACTTGGTTGTCAGCTTTACAGGTATCTTGAAGACTTGGCCATTGGGTCGAAGTTTGATAATAGTGGAAGCAAACGCGACATCATTTTCCAGATCCTTTTGCACTATTAGTCTATAGTATCTGAAAGGATCTTCAAATGCAGCACTGATTGTTACAGGTTCCTCAACTGCTCCAGGAGGGATTACGAGTTTTACACCTTCTCCAGCCACCTCTCCACCTTCACCGTTAATGTTTCTTGAAATACTATAGCTCTGCTTTTGAGATTTATTCGTAGGCAAAAGACCTTTTTGAAAAAAAAAAAAGAAAAGAACCTTGTTAGCGTAGTTCAACTGGAAAACAACGTCATGCAACGCTAGAAACAAAAAGCGGCTGCCAGGGAGGCCACAATTTACTCTCTCCTTTTTTTAATCTTACAACCTTGAAGACCATGTGATATCCTAAACTGAGATACAATATATTATTTACTACCGTTCCAACTCCTTGATCTTTCTACATGGGGCCGCACTTTACTTCCAATATGGAACCTCTAGTTTTATTATTATTATTGGACTGGACTATGAAATGAAATCTTCTTTTGGGGCAGTGCACCCAAGAAGGCCGCACATCTGGACGATCTTACCGAAAGATAAGTTGCAGTGAACAATCTAGTGGCCCGCAAGCAAACATCCCCCTTGCTATTATTCTAGAACAAATACTGTATCTTTGAAATTAGGTTACCCCGCATTTATAACTGGTGGTTTACCTCGTTTAGCGCTCTCTATTTCGATTTCTTTTACAATCACTAATATATAGATTTACTCAGGACAGGGCTAAAAGCGCAGCTGTCGTTGTTACACTTAAAGTAGTACTCCAGCAAAAAATCAAGTCGTGTGATGCTAACCGGCGATAGCAACGAGAATTGAAAAAACAAAAAAACAAAAAACAAAACAAAACAACAAAAAAAAAACAACATCAACAATACGTCCAATTAGCGAGCTTAGCTTTCCGTCCTATCAGGGGGAAGGGGACGGAGGCACTCAACAAAGTTATATACTGGGAGACTCCGCCCTATTCGTCCAACACATTACCCTTTTGTATACCAGTTTTGACTGAAGGGGTGCCCCTTGAAGGGCAGAAAGGTCCGTGCACGGTTCGGCCAACCCTTTTTTTAAATTTTCTGTTCCATGTTGAGCAAACGGAAAGATGTGAAATTGACATCTTTTTCGATTAATTCGTTTACAATGTTACAAGTGTCTAGATTGCTTTTGCTTTAAAAGCACCTTTTTACTGAAATTTTATAATATGACGGCGCCAAAGAATTTTTGCACTTAAAAATAATGGTAAAATCTCAAAAAATTGCCAAAATTCCAGAAGTCCTTGTTTCTTTTCTTGAATCCATAAATCTTACCCCTCTAAAACAAAAATTGCTCAATATCTTCTTTTTACTGTTTTATACTATCTTTTTCCAAAAAAAGATAAACAAAATTTGACTTCCGTTTTATCGTTTTTTGATTTTTCGAAAGAAGAAACACAAAAAACGAAAAACAAAATTCGACTTCCGTTTTATCGTTTTTCTGTTTATGTACAAACAAACACAAAAAACGGAAAAAAGAAAAATGACTTCCGTTTTGTCGTTTTTCCTTTTATGTACGAGAAAACACAAAAAACGGAAAAACAAAAATCGACTTCCGTTTTATCTTTCTTCGTTTTTTGTACGAACAAACAAATGAAAACAGGAAAACGACAAATGACTTCCTTTTTATCGATTTTCCCTTTACGTACGAAAACACACAAAAACATACAAACGGAAATTGACTTCCGTTCTATCGTTTTTCGTTGTAAGTACAACCAATCAGTGAAAGAAAGACCTGGATATAACCTAATTTTTCGTTTATATTTTTTTCTTCGTTTTCTGTGGCTGTTTAAGTGAACCAAGAGCTGGGACAGAAAAGGGGTTGGGGGGGGGAGGGGTTGAGTGGGGGTTGGTGGTTCCTTTCGGAATCTCGTCTAGATGTTGTTGGTCAGCAGTTTTTATAACCGTGGTATATGTCTTTTTTCGCGGGTCCTTCAAAAATGGCGGGGATGGAAAACGTAGTTACTGCTCGCTACGTGAAGGAGCTTGTTGAAGAGCAAGGCAAAACACATAAAGAAGTAGCTGACATTTTAAGACAACAGCATCCAGGAGTGAATGGACTATCTGAAAGGAGTGTCAGGCGATTTTGTGCTACGAAAGGCATACGGCGTTATGATTCTCGAGTGACTGGTGTTGATGTTCATAATGTGGTTACATCTGCGATTGCTGAGGTGATTGTAGCTTCCGTTTATAACATTAGATTTAGGTAGTGTTTAATATCGTGTAAATAGTTTTAATCTTTTTAAGGCAAAAATGTCAAAAACAAAGTCATTAAACCCTGTTGCCCGTAAAACTGCCAGTCTCTCTCCACCCCCACCCCCACCTCGACCACATTTTTGCGGCCGTGGGAATAAACCCGATACTTTTCCATGAAGAAATGTTAAAGGTAAACTTAGTTGAAAAGAGATGCTATTCTCACTCTAAACACTCCTACTGTTACACTCTACTATTAAGTCGTCTTCATTAAAATTAATTCTTTGTTGTCCCCGCCAAAGGACAAAAGTTCTGTCGTCCATGACTGACCGAAAGAAAAAGATCAAACAACGAAAAAGTTCACCACGTAGCAAATCTGAAAATATTAAGTCAGAAATTCTTCTACCAAAGAACACTTCAAAACGTAAATTGACGGCTGAATTGAATTATTACACTTACCAATAATAAAACCGCATCGACTGTCCACAAATCTTCGCTATATAATTCCGCTCTTTCCTTCGCTGAAAAAAAAATTGATCTTGCACCGCGAATAACGCGCCAAGACTGTTAATAAGTCAGAACCGCAAAAATCTCGTTCGCAAAATCTTCGGGCTTTTTGATCAGCGGGTGGTTGCCAGGAGGCCTGTCGTTCTCTCACTGACGGATCAGCCCGTCCTACGGAACAGACCTACCGCGGACTCTGGGCCGGTAAGAGTGGCATTCGTTTCACGTAACGCATGAGCAACTACATAGTCGGCTGCCCTAAGTGGCAACGAAAACGAAAGTCAAGTATCATTTTACCGTTTTTGGTGTTTGGTCCTTCATAAAACGAAAAACGTGAAAATGGAAGTCGGCTCATATTTTTCCGTTTTTTGTGTCTGTTTTTTCAAACACCAAGAAACGATAAAAGGGAAGACGATTTCCGTTTTTCCGTTTTATGTGTCTGTTAGAAGAAGATAGGGGTCTACAGACGGACAAAAATGAGGGGACAACTGAGGGGCAACAAAGGGGTAACAAATTGTGGCGAACGTAAATGGGGCGAATTGCCTAACCCAACAAATTGAGTAAAGTGTTTAGACCGACATAATTAGGGCGAATTGTCTTACTCTAACAAGTCCAGGGTAGTGCTTAGGGTTAAATCATTCGAGGGCAGTGCTTAGGGTTAAATCAATCGAGGGCAGTGCTTAGGGTTAAATCAGTCGAGCGGAGTGCTTAGGGTTAAATCAATCGAGGGCAGTGCTTAGGGTTAAATCAGTCGAGCGGAGTGCTTAGGGTTAAATCAATCGAGGGCAGTGCTTAGGGTTAAATCAGTCGAGCGGAGTGCTTAGGGTTAAATCAATGGAGGGCAGTGCTAAGGGTTAAATCAATCGAGGGCAGTGCTTAGGGTTAACTCCATTGAGGACGGTGATTAGGGTTAAATAGAGTGGTCGCGCAAAAAGTAGTAGGGTGAATTGTACGTTAGGTTTCAATGCAGATGGATTAATCCCTCGAGTCGATTGTCTAGGTCATGACAGTGAGCACGTTTTCGTCCATTGATTTGCTGACTCAGTAGAATTTGTTTCTATTTTTAGATGGAAAGAGTCGCTAGCAATGTAGTAAAAAAGCGTCTATTTAGAAGCTGACCATGGAAAGAAATAAATAAATCTACTGCTGTGTGTTTTAATTCACAAAGACTAGCGGAGCTTTACACTCTGTGAAGTCTAAACTGTAGGAGACCGCAGTCACGTTCGCTGGATTGTAAATTACCTGTTGTATTCCACAGTCCATTTTTTGCTGTCTATAGTCATATGAAAGGTTTTGTCCACGAGAACGTAGCCGTGGAAATAACCGCTAGCAATGTAACATTGTAAATGAAGTGTGTATTTCAAAAAGCTAGAAATAGACAGCTAATAAATGCCGTGTGTTTAAATCGTAAAGACTATAGCGTACTAGAAAACGTAGGTGTTTTTGAAAATCTTTTTATTACACAAGTCATTGACATTTACTTTTCTAACCTACGGATGGTAGTACAGCTTCAGTGAAAAAGTTGCTTTTGAAAGCTATAAAACGTTTCTCTGTCTAATGTAACAGGCAAAAAAATGCGATGTTTTTTATTCATAAACAATCTTTGGTCCAAAGCTACATCCTCTAGCATAGACATGTCGTCTAGCCCTGGTGTTTAGCTGGTTTGCATTAAAAGTAAACTGTTCCTCATCAGAGCTAAACTGTTCTTCATCAGAGTTAAACGGGACCTCCTCGCAGTTAATCGGGTTCTCCCTGAAATTTTCTCTGGTCGGTGATACAACGGACGTAGGTTTATTGATGTTCTGTTTCACTGTCTTCTTTTGAGGTTATTTTCGCCGTTTGCTCTTGACGTTTTGTTTCACAGGATTCGCCTTGATTGTCCCTAATTTTTTCTGCTTCTGTTCAGATTGCTTTCGGTGTTTGTTTTTCACTAACGGTGGATCTATGGAACGTTTTCGAGATACCAGTTCAGGTTTATCTGCCTCCGATACTGTTTTAGTACAAGTGGTTATGTTAGGATAACAGTGGCAGTTTTCAAACACCTCGGCCACAACTTGTTTCTCTGTTGGAGTCTTGGGTTGATTGTCCACCAAAAGATACCCATAAGGCTTTTCGGTTTCTTTCGCATAGACTTTCATAAAGTTTGACCTGTCTTTCGCAAAAATCCGCTCCGCCACCATGTCGATTTGCTTACGATCACTGGGACTACGAAAAAGTGTTGGTACTGTGCGTTCCTGCTAATATCTGTGTTGAATTTCCCTTTCGGAAACATATTTTGCAGTAATAATATCACGCTAGCATTGCGATGACGGCCTTGTGTAAACAGTGTTGATAACACGGGACTGTCAGTTGCCTTGCTCATTAGGTCATCAAACACCAACACATTGTGAAACTTCGGATTGATTTCTCTTAGATCTTCACTCAGTGCAGGTAAGCCTTGGGTAAACACAATCTCATCACTTAGTGTAGATTGCAAGGACGCATACCGTGGTTGCCATTGATTATAAAACCAGAAAATATGTCTCTGTTTCTTACTGGGGTACTTGATACAATTCTTCTTTAACAGTGAAAGACGTTTTTCCACACTGACTTGGCCCCACCACGAGCATCGAAAACATGTGGTTAAACTTAAAGTCTGGGTAAGGCCTCGTCTCTAAACAGTTAGTTGTTTGTAGCTTGGTTACTTTTCGCTGTTTCGGTTCAGTCTTTAGAGCTTGTCTAACGGGTTGTAATGGTTGAGGGGTGTGGCTCCAAGGAGGAGGTGGCATTCCCCAAAAGGGGTAAGGAGCCATGTAAGGTAATCCAGTGGATTTTGCTGAGGAAAAGATCGCAGATTTTAGCCACGGTTTTCGTTCTTCACTGGATAACTGATGGACTTGGGCTAGGTGGTGACTTAAAGACAGTAGACCACTCTTATAACAGATTGGACAATTTCGTCTGTTTCGATAAGGCATGTTGACTCTTCGGCGTCTTATCACAGCTAGTCGCTTTTCCACAAAGTCTCATCCTATTTATACCTTTTCGATTCATTCAGTTAAATGTAGGGTGCCTGTGAGGTGCCTGAGGGTGCCTGTAGGGTGCCTGTGGGGTGCCTATAGGGTGCCTGTGGAGTGTCTGTGGGGTGCCTGGGGGTGCCTGTGGGGTGCCTGTGGTCGATGAAAATTCATAGACTCCAGTGCAGATTGCTTAGAACTAAACAACTGTAATACACATTTCATTCCAATTTTATTTGCAGACTTTTTCCGCACGTTACAAAATTAAGTTGCAGGCTTTTTCAACACGTTACGAAAATAACTTGCAGACTTTTTCAACATGTTACGAAATTAACTTGCAGAGTTTTACTGCAATCTTTTTACTCCTCATAGAATGACAAGTTCATCAGTAGTCCTCGATCCAAGTTTTGTTTCATGGTTAACTGGTCAGCTAAGGCTTCTGAGATTTTGTCTATGGTGTTATAAGACCATTTGTCAGGGGTGCATTCACACGTATAGGTTACCTCAACATGTTCTCTGGAGGAGGTCTGTATTTTGATGAGAGAGGTCTTGGGTGTTTTTCTCTGCTCAATGATTGCATTGAAACCATGATACAGAGGATACACGACTTCAAAAACTAAGTTACGGACCCCCTGTTTTGTAGTAGTCTGTCGCTTTAGATCTACCACATACAAATCTGTGTCTCCAATTTTGGTATAGGTTGCTTTAAACAATGGATAGTCAATCGCCGTGTGTAACCAAGAGAGATTATCCTCTTTCTCAGTCTTCATTACGCTCTCTCTTTTCTCACGTTCAGCCCGCATTTCTTCTATATCTCTGTCCCATTCACGCTGTTCTGCGGGAGTCCAATCGTCATACCCTCCTATCCACATGATGATTTGTGATAAATGATAGATAGAATAGCACACCCCTTTCTCTTATACCTCACCTCAGGCATTATCAGTTGTACGTTCGATTGCCTAGAGGTAACATGTCTGTTATGGGTGGTTCCGTAGAAGCACTTTCTACCAAGACTGGTAATGAACCCACCCAAAAAACCATGCCTGCCAAGACCAGGTTGAAGGGTTATCGACAAAAACTGATGACGATCAAAGCTAGAATCAAGTATCGAGAGCATACCCTCAAAGGGTTCAAAAAACATCTCAAGAATGGTACGTTTCCGCAAAGAAGAAAATCGATAAAACCATACCCAAAAATGAGTTCCCCCAAAGCTCAAGCTATCGTCAATGCTGCCTGTGATCAAGTGCAAAGTGTCATTTTGCATCAAATGATTCAAGAAGAAGAGAAGAAGCTCTCTCAAGATCAAGACAGTTATCAAACTATGAGGAAGCAACGGGAAGGTGATCGTCGGCAGCTCAAGGCCCCTAAAAAATCCAAGAAACCTACAGTGGCTCAACTCCAGCAAGAGCTCGCAGACTTGCAGTCAAAATATACCCAACTGTGTAGTAAATTAGAAAACAGTCAGTGAATAAAACACACCGTGAAATCAAATCATGACTTGTTTTTTATTGATCTTGCTCACTAGCTGGTTACAATAGTTGCGAAAATTTATACAGCAGTAAAACGTAAACGTCCTCCTTTATACTCGGTCTTCAAGTGAATCTTGTATTTTTTGCCATAAACCATAGTGTTTTCTTTAGGAAAGTAGATAGAGATGTACCATCGACCCTCCATGTTTCTTGTTAGTGGTGGATTTAAATTCTTGACTGTAGGTAGATACTTTACAAATCTTGAAGATGAATCGACTGAAAATAACACTAGACCATTCCTAGTCATGCCTCTGTAGGTCCCCTGCAAGCCCTGATATAAAAGACGACGAATATAATAATTCACTGCTTTTGCCTTGGGATCAATGTTGTCGATGCATTCCGAACCTACAAACGTGCGATTGCTGTTGATCTTGTTTTCTATCATAAAATGTTCCTTTAGTCCCATCTGACCACATGGGCAAACATTATGCTCCCCTGGTGCAATTGGTCTTGATTCCACAAAAATCCACTCTTTCAGGAAGTCGTCACCCGCACTTAAATGTTGCAAATGCAGATGGAAATTCACGTTCTGGTCTCGCATTTGATCTTGTCTTTCCATATTAACTCTCAAGCTATGACTACGTTACACAGGTTGATGCCAAGATGCAATGATTGGAAAAAGGGAAACTGTCTAACATTTATACTCAAAGTGATCCCCAGAGATTGTCTGTATACTTAAGCGTGGAATTCTTTCACTATGACTTTGTCAGGCAGGCTTGAGCAAGTCTTTTTGTTCGCTCCCAATGACGTCAACCACTATTGTGTGCAAAGATTAGTCTGATGACGTCAATCGCTATTGTTGTTACCTCTATCGACGTCATGACGTCAAGGGCCATTGTTCTCGTGCATGAGTGTGATAACTAATTTAAATTCCATGCACCGTGATTGTATTTAGGTCATCAGCCATTTATAGCTTAACCAATCCAACATGGCTAAAAATGATCGTGATAATGACACAGTCTATGGAAAGAAAGCAAAGATGGGAATATTTGTGAGCACCCCTAGACATCTTGTTAAAGGTAGAGGTAGTGGAACTACTGCTTGCAATGAAATATAACAACGTGATCTCATCGGGTACCCATGATTTGTAATCCAACGTTGAGGTGCTCGCAATAAAGCATCACTCATAGACATCAACAAGCTTTCATGCCAGGCAGCGGCACGTAGTTGTTGAATACGTAAATCCAATTGAATTTCCTCCACAGAATCGTTGTTACCTACCACACGATCCGCTAATTCCGTCAAGTCTACAGAGATAACCGGGTTGTAAATATCATAGCAATGATAACTAGACACACGTTTGTCTTGCCAATACGAAAATTGCTCTAAATCTTGCATGGACACTGACTGCATCGTGACTGATGTGATCACCTCGCTCAATCGTTCCACACTTTTATTCATTACAAAACCCTATTCCCTTGGGATAGGGTTAGAGTGGAGACTGAGCATAGGGGCAAGGGACTGGGTAAACGGCTAGAATGGAAGGTCTGTGTAATCTGTTAGAATGGTAGGCCTGTGTAAAGGGTTAGGTAATCAGCCACACAATTTCTTCAGACACGCTTTTATTGAATCAAAAATGCTTGTCTTAATTTACATTATTTCTTACATTCCTATGCGCACATATCCAAAGGGATATGATTTTCCTGTTGATTTGTCCACTACACGCTTATCCCAGTTTACACCAAACACTTTGACTAAATCTGTTAATCCTACTGTTTTGTGCGTATTATCTCTTACAAAGTAGTCTTTGATTTCAATCGCCATAGCTCTTCTCATTCTTAATGGATTGCATAATTCCTGCTTGATGTGATGTAACATGGAATCACAGTTCAATACCTGGTTGATTGCATAAGAACTCTTTGTACCTTTATTCTTACATTCTGACTTTCCACCTGCAGTTTGATAACTATACGATTTTGGACCTGCTGATCCAAACTCTACAATGGTGTCTCCTTCTAATTCGTCTGTCATTTTCCCTAAGAAAATGCCTGTAGGTACAAATGGCTGACCTTCTTTCCAGGTGTAAATGATCGAGTCGGTATCACAATACGAGTTTCTTTCACAATAAGTGTATCATCATTTAACACACGGAACCAAGTGTCGATGTCTTGGATGGCAATGGTTTGAGTTCGATGTTCGTTTTCACCAAATTTGCCCCAGAAGCTGGAAATACAAAGAGGGAAACAATCAAACGTCTTTTTAATTGTTATTCCTAGTTCTCATTTTTATTCTATAACTACCTGTTCAGCATGAGTTTCGACAGCTGTTTTCGTCCTGGGTTTTTGGCTACGTTGTCTAACTTGATGCCTTCTCTTACTTGGAAATCGCTCACATACTCGTCTTTTTTTCTCTTCTGTATCACAATGACTTGGCCAACCGCTCGCCTCTGTCTTGTACTTTAACCAGGTGTTGACATAGGTTTAAATAACCCCTCTTTTTGTTGATCTTCAGGAAAATGCCAGACTTCATGAATTTTTAGGATACGATATCCCTTCTCCACTGCTTTCTGCAACTCCGGGGTACACCATGTACCTGTCTTTGTTCGCTCTTTGTCTGTGTGAGCACACATATTGGTCCGCTCAAACAAGGGAGGATCCAATTGATTCTCTACACATTTCGCACACAAGGGAAACATGAGTTTACCATTCAGCTTCACTGGAAGTACTGGGTGTAGCAGTTTTTCTGGGGCAATTACGTCAACTTTAGCTAGACCAAAGTAACTGTGAATGTTGTTACTCTCAGGGTTTACTATAATAGTAGGATGGCCAGTAGGATACGTTCCATACTTGTTGATTGTTGGATACAAACTCGTGAAATCTTCATATAGAATCTGCTCGTTGTCCTCAGCTTTGTGATAACATTTTGCCAACACTGTTCTACCCCCATAAAATGCATCACGTGGATCAAGTGGCGAAACCCACGTCATGGTCTTTATCAGCTCTTTCAGGTCATTGTTGTTGTTGACTGCTTTTCTAAAGTCGCACTCCCAGATTTCTATCACCGTGTAACCTGCTGTGTGTAACAAGTCAGTTTTTCTAAGTGTTGCTTGATACATTTCCTCCACGGTGCGATCCGGGTGATGAAAGGTCCTTTTGTGGCGACCATTTGGCTTACATCTCTTGAAGCCATGAAATTCACAGCCGTGAAATTCATAGACGGTTTTGGCGATGGGATCATAACCATCCTCTTTCACTTTCCCCCTCTTTACTTGGATCACTTGTTCTGCACCATTGCGTGCGTGTTTGATACGATTTCCACCCAGTTGTTTGTCTTGGTAATACAGCCATTGAAATGCGACTTTACTCTGACTTGTTTTCAGACCTCCCCAACCATGTAAAGGTTCTACAGCAATGGTTTTGGGTTGCATTTGATGATTTCGCCAAAAGTAGTGACACGTGGAGGCAATTGTGATACACTGTAAAAGAGGGTTGAACCCAGCATCACGTTTGGTGTCCTCTGCAAATTTGAGACAGCCTTCTTTCATGAGTTGGACATCGCTTTTGCAATACGATAGTAATTCATTGCGAAAGTTCCAAACCTCTCCTTTCAATACTTCGTTTGCATGCCAAGTTTCACATTCTTTTTTCTTGTCTACCTTCATATGTTTTGTGTTGTAATAACTTAGGTCTGGAATCGTGCCTTCATACTCTAAATTCTCCAACTTGGAAAACTTGTGAGGAAACCAGTCTTTTTTCAACTCTGTTAGTCCAAAGGTCTTTGTGAAATTGGTCAGCGGCATATTCAGGAAGGAGAGGGAGTCTTTAAACACAAGATTTCTGTGCTTGAAATGTAAAGCTTTGGTGCCCGTTGCCATGATTTCAGTCACTTTCAAGTTCATCTTGTAAAGCGCATCTATCATAAAACAGCCATCAAAACCTTTCAAATTGTGAAAGAAAATATGTAGCTCTTTGCTGTCTTCTTCCTTCTTATCTTGATTAGACCAATCGATCATGGTTTCAATGAAAGCTTGGATACAATTGGTACCCCAATGATGATAAATAGTGTCATCGCCATGTCTTGCATAACAGATCAAAATAGGTACGAATGTGTTGCTGCTATCCAGTAAACATTCCACATCAGCAAAGATCATGATTGAGCTTGGCTCCTGTTGTGACGTTAAATCTTCTTCTTGTTTTTGGTTTCTTCTCACTTCACGATCTACCATGTCCTGTGTAATAGCCTCCAAGGCTACACCCCTTTCTTGCAATTGCTGTATCGCTCTTTCACATAAATCGTCTAATCGTTGCTGTTCTCTTCTTCCCTTTATTTCTTCCATAGGAATACCATTGTTGATAGCATTCAATTCGTCAACCTTTCTTTTACGTTGTTTCATCAAATCATCAATTACTTTCTCTTTAAACTCATCCTTTGCATCCTCTTCTCCATACAATTCTGTATAGAGTTTTTCTTTCTCTCTTTTCTGCTTTTGAAATTCTTTTAAGGTGCCTTTAAAACATTTTTCCTCCTCAGATGTGATGAAACATTTATGTTCGTAAATGTTGACATACTCTAAGCAATGTTTACACATAGCATGAAGACATTTGTGGGATGTGTCTTCTTTTACTTTATATGTCACACCAAAATCTTTACGATATTGATCACAAACACTTATCATTTTCACTCTGTAAGAAAGATCCTCGTTCAACTCATCTTCAATTAATTGTGTCATCCTTTTTAAAGATGGGTCTTTATAAACTTCTTTGATCAGGTGATTTTGAAAACAGACTTCACCATAAAACTCACGTCTACAAATGATACAACTTCTATCTGGTTTTACCCCAAAGGTAAAATGTATACAGCCTTCGTCGTCATCCGTCTTTCTTCTTAAACAACCAGGGCAATTCCGCGCTTCACAATTATGATGGGCGCTATTTTCTGTATTGTATCCCTTACAGCAGCGATAACAAAAGTAGCTGCGATTCATGAAGCCTGGTATTGAATACAGACCATCATAGTGAGCTTTCAAATCTCCCTTTTCATCTTCATACACAGATTTCTCTATAGCAATGATCTTCTTAGCTTCTTTAAATGCGTCACCTTTAAAAATCACGCTACCTCTACAAGCGTCTACCACAATTATTCTGTAGCCTTGCAGACCAAGGTAGTCTTGGAATTTGTCTATTTCCTCCAAACCACAAAGACCTTCAGCTACACCCGCTTCGTCATGTAACCTCTTAGCTTCTTTGAGTTGTTGTGAATTTTTTCCACGATCTTTATGAATATTTTCAAAAGTGTTGTGTTCACCAGCTTGACGTTTGGCATATTCACGCATCACTACAATGGCTCTTGCACAACAGAGGGAATCTTTGTTTTTGATTTCACAGACACATCGAGATTCTTTCACTAAGTGACTCCAAATTTTCTGACCTGGACCACCGCCTGCTCGTTTACCTCCTTTCGTCTCAGGTCGGGTGAATAAGACTGAGGCTGAAAACCCTATATCATTAGTAATGAACTGCGCACTGTTTAAAACATTGGAAAGTTTCTGCAACAAAGCTTGTGCATACGCGGCTCTCCATGTGAAATCACCCACTGGTACGCCCCAACTCTTTCCAGTTAAACCCTCTTTTCTGTGTTCACGGCTTCCTATTTGCAATGTCATCCAATGGCTATCTGGGATTTTGAGGTCTTCGACCAGCTTGTCAACTCCAACTGCTATGGCATGTGTTGCTCCAATATTCAAATCTTCATTTTCTTTTAGGCCGCGTTTTTGATCTAACGTGAGAATGAACTTCTGGTTCACCACGGTATTTTTCTTCCAACGTTTGGCTGGACCCAATTTCTTGAATTCAGCTACATAGAGTGGATCTGGACCACCACCGTATGTGTCAGTGGAGTCTTCTGATTTATCAGCTACCTCTTCCTTAGAAACTTTTACATCAGATTTGTTATCTCCTTGATCAGCCCCACGTTTTTTACCTTTAGTAACTTTTACACCAGATTTGTGATCCCCTTCATCAGTCTCGTGTGTCATTCCACGATAGTCACAGCCCCGCCTGTCTGTTCCTCATTACATAATCGAGGTACCTTTCCAGAATTCAATAACTCTAGACGTAAGAGCTCGGCACCTTCTTCAGCTTTCCGTTTTGCTACTTCAGAATGGAATTTTTTAAAGTGGGCAGTCAGTTTGTCCTTCCTCGAAAACAACTTGTCACAGTGTAAACATGCAACTTTCAAATTAGTTCCACAATATTTCTTATGACGGCAAAAGTCAAATCTGTTCTTGTACTTCTTGCCACACTTTGGACACGGTCTCGGATAAGTAATCGGCATGGTGATAGCTGTGATCAGTACAACGTATCGTAATCAAAATGAATTATCCCAGCGTTGTCCCCTTTTTATACGTTATTGTAATCTAAAAAGATGACGCCATCAACTAAAATAGAAACAAATTCTGCTGAGTCAGCAAATCAATGTGTGAAAACGTGCTCACTGTCATGACCAAGACATTCGATTCGAGGGATTAATCTAAAAGATGACGTCATCATCTAAAAATAGAAACAAATTCTGCTGAGTCAGCAAATCAATGGGCGAAAACGTGCTCACTGTCATGACCTAGACAATCGAATCGAGGGATTAATCCATCTGCATTGAAACCTAACGTACAATTCACCCTACTACTTTTTGCGCGACCACTCTATTTAACCCTAATCACCGCCCTCAATGGAGTTAACCCTAAGCACTGCCCTCGATTGATTTAACCCTTAGCACTGCCCTCCATTGATTTAACCCTAAGCACTCCGCTCGACTGATTTAACCCTAAGCACTGCCCTCGATTGATTTAACCCTAAGCACTCCGCTCGACCGATTTAACCCTGAGCACTGCCCTCGATTGATTTAACCCTAAGCACTGCCCTCGAATGATTTAACCCTAAGCACTACCCTGGACTTGTTAGAGTAAGACAATTCGCCCTAATTATGTCGGTCTAAACACTTTACTCAATTTGTTGGGTTAGGCAATTCGCCCCATTTACGTTCGCCACAATTTGTTACCCCTTTGTTGCCCCTCAGTTGTCCCCTCATTTTTGTCCGTCTGTAGACCCCTATCTTCTTCTTCTGTTTGTAGTTAAAAGGAAGGATGATAAAACGGAAGCCGATTTTTGTTTTTCCGTTTTTGTGTTTTCTCGTACATAAAAGGAAAAACGATAAAACGGAAGTCATTTTTCGTTTTTCCGTTTTTTGTGTTTGTTTGTACATAAACAGACAAACGATAAACCCGAAGTCGAATTTTGTTTTTCGTTATTTGTGTTTCTTCTTTCGAAAAAACAAAAAACGATAAAACGGAAGTCAAATTTTGTTTATCTTTTTTTTGGAAAAAGACAGCATAAAACAGTAAAAAGAAGATATTGAGAAATTTTTGTTATGGAGGGATAAGATTTATGGATTCAAGAAAAGAAACAAGGACTTCTGGAATTTTGGCAATTTTTTGAGATTTTACCATTATTTTTAAGTGCAAAAATTCTTTGGCGCCGTCATATTATAAAATTTCAGTAAAAAGGTGCTTTTAAAGCAAAAGCAATCTAGACACTTGTAACATTGTAAACGAATTAATCAAAAAAGATGTCAATTTCATATCTTTCTGTTTGCTCAACATGGAACAGAAAATTAAAAAAAGGGGTTGGCCGAACAGTGCACGGACCCAGAAAGCTCTCAACGCATGATCGCACACGAATGTTTACCAAAGTTTAGGGGCTCAAAAGCACAAATTTAATGATTTTTTTCGCAATATTTTAAGACTATGCACACTAAGACGATGGGGAACCTAGAGAAAGAAATGGCAGCGAACGAAGCTGTGGTGGAAGCAATTGCTAGCAATAAAGCAATAAAGCATGTTGCTCAGGGAAATTTACAAGCATTTTGAGAATCACTTGGCACAAGAACCTCGTAATCTGATATCCTTGGAGAGATAACTGAAATGGTTGTAGAGTGCTCTTTTGTAGTGGTAAAGATTGCAGGAAAAAACGCGACAAGAAGGTAAACGACTCTACCTCGGTCAGTTTGCACCCTGCCTATTATTACTCATTTTCTTCCGCGGGCCCACTGTGAATTCACTGCCCTTCAGGAAAATCGTCAGCTTAATATGTGCATTTCGGCAAAAACAGTACAAGAAATTAAAAATGTGGCGCGTTAAATAATTAACCACTTTTCGTTGTAGAGAATGAGTATTAGCGAATTTCTCGCGCGTACGAAAGAAAAAATGGTAACCTGTAGATGCGCGAAAATTTGGTAATCATATGACCGTACGTCTGTCCGTCCGTCCACCCCCTACATGTCACATTTACCACCACTACACTGACGCCGTGAAAGAGCTAGTAGAACGAAAGATTCAAAGAAAAAAAAACAAAGAAAGGAGACGAAGAGAAAACATGAAAAATTTAAAGCTACGGTGAGAAAATGAGAAATGCTAGTGGCCAGCAAGGTAAAAATGAGCGGCAGTGAAAAAAAGACTGGAACGTGGGAACATATACGACTTTTCCTCCATAAAACGTGCAGCTAGGAAGTTTCACGTAAGTTTAAGTCGTGCAAAAAAAAGGCAAAGAAATGTGCTGCACCTGCAAGGTTTTTTTACGCTAATAGTCCGTATTGATTTCTTTTTTGCATTTCTCGTCGCCGTCACCGGTTAGCATTACACGATTTTATTTTTTCTGGGGTACAACTTTGAGTTTATTAACGAGAGCTGCTCTTTTAGCTCTGGCTAAAAATACTAGTGATTATAAACTAGTGTGCAAGATGTTACTCAAACCAGAAACGGAAGGGATAGAGTCGAAATCGAAGTTAAAAAAGCAGAGTAATCTAATCTCAAAGATACGGTTTTTTTTATAGAATAATAGCAAGGGAGACCTTTGCTTGCGGGCTACAAGACTGTTCACTGTCCTTTATCTTCCCTTAAGATTGTCCAAATGTGCGGCGTTCTTGGGTCCGCTGCCCCAAAAGAAGATTTCATTTCATAGTCCAGTCCCTAGGCTAAAATCGGTACATTTGAACCAAGATGGCCACCTGTTAGAAAATGTGCTCGACTCCGAGGATCTTACGGAAAAATAGAAGACTGTGAACAGTCTAGCGGGCCTCCTGCCAGCAAGCATACTCCACCCCCATCCCCTGCTTCACGCTGAGTCGGCGGGGAGTTTGATAATAACTACTTATTGACTGAGAGTAAGGTCGTTACGATAAAATCTCGAACTGAGGCCTTGAAACGCCTTGATGAAACACAGCTCGAGCAAGCGCGCCAACAAGCCCCTTTGGACGCTGCGTTTGTTTTTGAAGACTTCGATGATGTTGTTCATCCTTGGAAAGATAGTTTTAATAACGTTCTTGATTCGCACTGCCCTTGGCGCGAAAAGCGCGTTAAACAGGAGGCCCCTGCGCCCTGGATAACAAAGGAGTTGATTAAACAACTTTGCACTCGTGACAATTTACTAAAAGTGGCGAGGCGCTCAGACTCTACAGCGGATTACTGGGCTAATTACCTTATTGCGAGGAACAAGGCCTTTTCTGTGCTGCGCCCGCGCGCGCGATCGGCTAAGCGTGAGTTTTGTAACAATTCATTTGAGGACAATAAGAATAACGCCAGAGCTATTTGGAAGGCGAAGAAAACCCTAACTGGACCTAAAAAGAGTGCTCAACAAAGAACTAGCTTGAGAGTTGACTGGCGCGACGTGGATGACGCCACGGAAATGGCTGATCCGATTTCCTTAATGAGAACAATCTAATGTACTTTAGACAGTCAGGATTCCGAAGAAAGCACAATACCGAGAATGCTCTTATCAAGATAATCGATTAACTGTTGTTTAACGTAGAGTCAAAGGATGTCAGGCATGGTTCTAGTGGATTATCGAAAGGCGTTCGACATGGTTGATCACGAAATTTGTTGAGAAAGTTAAAGGTGTATGGCGCTGCCAAGCAGGAGCCCAATTGGTGTTGCTCATATCTATGCAGCAGAAAACAAGTGGTTCATATACGAGGATCGAAAGGAGTCGGGTGAGGCGATGTTAAGGCATGGGGTCCCGCAAGGCAGTATTATTGGACCGCTGTTCTTTGTCCTGTTCGTTGACGATTTGCCCCTACGCAGATGATACGACTGTGACGGCTTCGGCAGATTGGCCCACCTAGGCCTGTCACTAAATAAATCTGTCAGAGAAATTCAAGCCTTGGCCAGCGCTATAAATTTTTAATTGTAAAGAGTAGTTTGTTTTTTTTTTCTTTTAACATCTACTTTATAATCTTTTTATACCTAGACATTGTAAATAATTTGTTTATTAGTGTTTTCATTAGTATAGATATATAGTATATTATATATAGTATATTATATATTTGTAAGATTGTGTTCTGAGGGCCACAAGCTTATTAGCCTTGGGCTATTTAACCCTCGTTAAATATAGGCAATGAAGGCAATGAAGTCATCACTTTACATGATCTTTACATCCGGTGATGCGCGCGCTTGACCGCTCTTCATCGCAAAATTAGCTCAAATTGCAATAGTCTACATGATTCAGTGAACAAACGTGTATTTCGTGAAAAAAAAAAAAAACATAGATTATTTGTTTTCGGAGCAAATGATTACATTACAGCTATAAAAACGTTTTTATAGATGTGTTACAACTTGGCAAGGAATAGTTCATAGACATTATATCAAAAATCAACGTTCAAACTTCAATCAAAAGTGCTTCAAACGGCGTCTCGGTAAATGAAAATACGTGCAGCGGAACGCATGCACCGCAATCGATCAATCAATCTTCTTCTTCTTCGCTTTCGATGACAAATCTTCGCCTCTTGTTTGATTCGTGGATGAACTTCACTGGGCCGTTGAAAATCTGTAATTGGCAGCCAGAAATGTTATTGATGTTTCCGCCGGCAAATACTGCTCGGCTGTTTACATCTGATAATCCGTCAGCTCCTCGACGCTGAGTAAAATTTCTTGTGCTACAGCGAGGGAATTTGTTGATGTTGCATGCTGCCTCTGGTGTCAACAGTTTGCCATATCAGAAAGGAACCTCTGAATGTTTCGTTGCAAACCAGCCTGATCGTGTAAGATTCGTACTCGTCGTCGTCGCTATTAATTTTGCGGACATCATTGAAAAACTTTGGCAATAAGTGGTCCCGATCACCAGCAGATTAATCCCAACTTCTACGTTTCCCTTTACTGAAGACATATAGTTATAACGCATAAATGTTTCTATGTCACTGAAAATTTCCTGGTCGGGTTTTCACTTTTTTGCTCTTTTACGAAACTCTCAATTTCTTCTTGGCTGTTCCTGTAAACTCCTTCGTAATCAGATAACATTGTAGCTTCACTGTTTTCCTTATGAGATTCAAGCTTGTCGGGGTAATAGAGCTCGATATCCGAGTGTTCATCCTCACTCTTTGTATTTTGTCGCAATAATTTACTTAAAGAAATATCCAGCCTGTAGATGTAATGGCCCGTGGGCCGTTAGGGGAGAATAATGCCCTAGCAGTTAGCCAATCAGAGCGCGCGTTATATCGGCTACAAGCAATAGCCATACAATAACACCTGTTATTATTCATTCAAAATATTTCCCCGATTCTGATTGGCTAAAAGCACACGCATAATTCACCAAAACCAGTAACTGATGACCAAATTTGGAAGAATTTTGTGTTTAACGAGGAAATGAAAAATGCAGCGTTCTTGCTGGTTAAGGCACCGTTACACGAGAAGATCTGGGGAGGAGGTTGATTTTTTTTGGTTGTGAAAACAAAAACTGGCGGACATTTCACTCGTTTCAAGAGTAAGAACTAGGCGAAATTATAGCTAAAACGTGGCAAGAGCAGCAAGAACACAACTCGAAGGGCCGACATCTGCTATTTGGAGAACATTTGCGGAGGTGAAAAACCCTAAACGTGCACTATCGAAGGTGAACTTAACATCGATGGAGGTAAGCATGTTTTAGCTTTGTTTTTCAACTAGGAATTATTTTGAATCAATAATAACACAATTATTGAATTCGGCTTTCGTATCATATGAAGAATTATGGAGTTCTCGGAGGGTGTTGTTATCCGCCTCGGCCCACGGCCTCGACGGATGACTCCCTCCTCGATCTCCATAATTCTTCATAAGATACTCCGCAGCCTCATTCATTAATTGTTAAATAACGAGTACTCGTCGGTTTAATACCACGGGCTACCAGAGATATGAAATATCAAAAAATAAATAAATGAATAAATAAATGCAAACATAAATGACAAACATAAAGCAAAACAAAGTGGAAGCTCATAGCGACAACCAATTGTTTTCCAAATGCTAACCTGAATGGATAGGAGCCTGCTCCTGGAAAACTAAAAATGTGCTTTTGTTAATGTACTAGGCACTTGTTCATGCATGATTCTTGATTTTGAAGCTTGTCAACGAAAACAGCAATAAACAGAATACTCTATTGATAAGACAATTTCCTGCCTTTAAATTTTAGTCAGACTAGCAAAAAATGTTTTCGCGGCGTAACGATTCCCGGATGTTACAAATAGGAAAGTGTGGGAAGCGCTAATATATATATTTAGCCACAGCTAAAAGCGAAGCTCCCATTGATGAATGTATAACTTAAATCAAACAATAATTTTGTATTCCACAAATCAGTTCACGTAAGGGCACATTCATGTGACTTTTGAGGGAAAAGCTAAGGGATTTTGGAGTGAAACAAATTTTGTATCGAGTTGATGTAGCCTTATATGTACACCCAAAAAATAGTCTTCGGTCACATTCAAGAGCAATGATGGCTCTTGATCACAGTAGATAAAGCGTGCAAAACAAATTCATGGAAAACAAATCAGACCGAATTTTTTGCGTTCGACAAGTTTACAAATTCTTGCCAATAAATCTGGGTGCGTGCAAACCAATCGTTTATTTTTTTTATACACCACATCTGAGGAGAAAGAGTACTATGAGGCGCTGTTTTTATCATACAGACCTCGTACAAAATGTACTATTTCACAATTTTTCAAGACAAATTGCATTCATTCAATATTCAGGACCATAGAGGCACGCGTGGACTTTTAATTTGCTAAACCGTTCAAAAAATTTCCAAAATCACCTATACGGCCAGCCGGTTCTAACTTTTGACAAGCGCCAAATTTGCGAAGAAATTTTAAAAGAGTTACGCTTCAACGTGATAAAGAATTCATTGAGTCTATTTCTTATTAACGGTTTTATAACGATGTGTAATCTTAAAAAGCGTTTGATACGCTTGGCATTTTGAGTACTCCTGCGAGCGATGTTTATGAACGCCTGAAAACAAACGGCAAAGCGATGAAAATTACACTTTTGAGGCTACCAAAAATCAATAAAGAAAAATAACCGATAGAACATTTACAGAGACAACAATTTTCATTCACGAAAACAAATGAGTATTTAAGTGTGTCTAAGAATCCTCAAGTCTTTACTAGTAAGCTTAAAGTTTATGTTTTAAGCCGCCGGTTTCCCGGTGTTTGCTGTCTTCAAAGATGAACTCACGACAAGAAAATCGCTCAAAGCTTTCTTTCTACAGCCAAAATTAAACTAAATATTCTTCGGAAAGTTTTTTCTTTGTATTCACGGTGAATTAATATCGACTAAAGGCTTTTAAAAGTTCTGTAAGCTTAAGCTTATATCAAACCTCATACTAGGTCAGATCACTGTCTCAGTCAAATCTTAATACAAACGTGCAAAAACTAGCTTCATAAAATGCACCGCTGGACTTCATGAAATTAGATATAAATACAATAATTACTCAGGCTCACCATATTTCGAGATGCAGCTCTTGAAAGCTATCAAGTAAGGCAAGGATCGCTTGAGCCTTTATAATTCTCGCACGCATCCAGGAAGGTGAAAAACAAAAACGATGCCATCCGAAATCGGTTTATCGGCTTTGACAAGCGACGCATTTTTCAACCAAAAACCCAATAAACAAACGAGCCATGAATAAGAGAACACTCTGGATAGCAGCTGTATTTCATTTTGTACATCCAGTGGAAAAAGACAGTTAAAAACATCACAAGTTGACTCAAAACTCTGTCAGCTTCAGCTGTCAAAGTAAACAACTTTCAAAATGCTGCATAAATTTTACGCATGAACTCACCTGTCAAATTTTAACCAATCATAGCATAAAAATTGGACGTGGAGCGTGACCAACACGTGACCATGGTAAGAAAAGGTCTTCCCCGCCTGTATTTTAAAAAAAACTGGCTGAATTTTTGCGTCTGAAGTCAGTTTGAAATCAAAATCGTAATAGTGCGGGGCGATACTGACATAAACACAACATATTTGATATGAATTTAAAACAAAAGTAAACGTGAGCCTGCGATCATTTGAAAACGAGTAAATTGTCAGCGGATAACTTCAAAAAATACTCGACCTCGATGGATCGACCCCTGAGCCCGCGATTCGGTCAGGTGATGGTGGTCAGCGGATACCCTGTTTTGACAGCTGTCAATTGATGACAACATTGATGTGCAATCAGCTTTCTCCTGGGCTCCCAAAGTAGCTAGAAAGTGTGAGAGTAAACATTGGTATGCCTGTGGTGCGGACGGACGGTCGCTCGGTCGCTCGGTCGCTCGGTCGCTCGGTCGGTCGGTCACGTGATTACCAAATTTTCTGGGATGGGCAGATTTCCTTAGCTATGGGGTCTGTCCCACGCGCGCTTCGCGCGCGAGGGAGCCCCGCTATCATGTAATATCCTTTTTGTGTACACAGCGAAGACCACTGTCTCGATCGGATCAGGCTTTCCTTTCCTAAATGATGTTTTATTGTGCTGAAAGTCACAAAAAGTTTAAAATACTTGATACATTTAATAAATTATTATTATTATTATTATTATTATTATTATTTTTTATTTTTTTATTTTTTTATTTTTTATTTATTTATTGACAAAAAAAAATAATTACAAATACTTGTTATTTTAACTACGAAAAATAATATATATATCTATATTGCAAAAAACAAACGAAATTTGTAAAGGAAAAAAACAAACAAACAAACTAAATTAAAAGGAAAAAGACGCAAACCTGATAAGTGAAACAGTATAGCAGTAAAGTGTAGCTTGAAGGAAATGACACTAGCATTCACGTATCTAAAGAAGTTTGTCCCATGTTTTTTTGAATTGCGATAAGCGGTTAGATCTAAAAGCTATGGTGCGAAGAATCTCAGTTTTGTTGTTGGGACGCAGTAGAAAACTGTCAAAGTCCAGGATGCCGTTGCGTACGCTTGTAGCAAAAACATTATATTTGGCGACAATCAAACAGTAATTAAGCACTTCCCAGTTATTTGACTCTTTGTGCCAACCATATAGAATAGTGCTTTCAGATAAAGTCAGTTTGTGATTAAATTTTTCGTGCCACCAGTTAGAAAAACAAGTCCAAAACGAAAAGGATACACTACAGGTAATTAACATATGTTTTAGAGATTGACTTTCAAGGTTGCATAAAGGACAAACATCAGTATCAGTTATGCGCGCGCGGAAGAGGCTAGATTGGGTAGGTAAAATGTTGTGAATAATTTTGACTTGGAACATGATCAGTTTTGGTTCTTTCAAGATTTTGAACGGGAGCATGTAGATGTAAGGAATTTCCTCTTTGGTGAACCCATGATCTAGAATTCTGCCTTCAGCAGTGGGTGCTGAGAAGCTTTTATCAAGTATGGAAGAATAAGCTTCTTTTGTGGAAAAAAGCTTCAAGCATGTTTCGCACTTTTCAGATTCATCATGCACGCCTGCTTTGACTCGTAGTGCACTTTTCCATTCAGTTGGTATGGCTCTTAAAAGGCCGTAATAAGTGGTAAAAGGAAATTCAAAGTTATCTTTCTCTTTCATTTCTGATAAGGTAAGAAATTTAAGGTTAACATTTAGAAGGTCTTCGATGCAACGAATTCCACTTGTACACCAGGATTTAATATAAATCGGTTTTCCATCAATACATATGTTACGGTTATTCCAAATTATTTGTTTTTTTTTAATGGAAATTTGCTTGTCACAGGTTAGTCTTCTGAAGTCATGCCAGTAATTTAAAATGGTGCGGTAAAACTCAGGGAGGTTTTCTAAGTTGAGTAGCTTAGGATCGTAGTCGCATTCGATGAGGAACTCTAGACCTCCGTATTGGGTTAAGAGCTTGATTTGGGATTTTTTTCCACGATGCATTACTTGATTCAGCAATACGCTTTATCCAAGCAATCTTTAGCGACCGCTCCATGATTTCAAAGTCAATCATTTTTAGGCCCCCACAGTGTTTTTCACCAATGATAGTCTTTTTCTTAATTTTGGGAGGCTTACCCTCCCAAATGAAGCTGAAAATAATCTTATTAATTCTGTCTATAAGGGATTTAGAAACGGTCAGTAACTAACTGCAATATATGAGTTTCGAGAAACCTAATGTCTTGACAATATTGATTTTGCCAATTAAAGTTAGCTTTCTTTTTTTCCAGTTGTTGAGTGTTTTTTCTAAAGAACAAACCTTTTCTTCAAAGTTAAGGGTGTTGGCTTGCTTTAAGTCATAGGAAAAGTGTATACCAAGGGCATAGACTGGTTCTTGAGGCCATTTGTCTTTGCGCGACCTCCAACATCCTAACCACAACGCTTCGGTTTTGTTTGTGTTAATTTCGAGACCACTGATCTGCTTGAATTTGTCTAAATGTTTTAGTAATTGTGTGACAGAATCGAGATCTCGCGCCAAAACGGTGGTATCGTCTGCGTATTGAGTTATCTTAATTTCCTTCTGACCGACTTGGATGCCTTTAATAGTATGGTCTTTCTTAAGTACTCTAGCTAACAGTTCGATTCCAACGACGAAAAGGAGGCCAGACAGTGGGCAACCTTGTCGCACACCTCGCTAGAGAAGGAAGAAGTCCGATGCATGACCATTATGCAGTACACAGCTCGATGCTTGGTTGTAAATAACTTGAAACCAGTTGAGTTTGTCAGGGCCAAAATTAAACGTTTGTAAAGCGGCTCTTAAGTACTTCCATTCTATTGTATCAAACGCTTTTCGAAAGTCAAGAAATATGGCAATACCGGGTTTTTCTTCCTGCTTAGTGTGAGACATTACATCTTGAATTAGTCTAACGTTTTCACCGATAAAGCGTCCTTTAATGTAACCAGTTTGGTCAGGGTTTATGATTTTAGGAAGGACTTTTTCTAGTCTTTTTGCAATAGATTTTGTCAGAATTTTGTAATCAACGTTTAGTAGAGGTTTTGTCTTTGCTTTTTTGGGGGATGAGTGAAATAATTCCGCGCTTTTGGCTGATAGATAGTGAACCTTTTTGGAAAGCATAGTTAAAACTGGCAGTCATCTCAGTGCCAAGATCACTCCAGAAGAATTTGTAGAATTCTGCAGAAAAACCATCAGTTCCTGGCGTTTTATTGTTTTTAAACTCTTTTAAGGCAGTTAAGCATTCTTCTTTTGAAATCATGCCTTCAGACAGTATTTGTTCGTTTTCATCTAGCGGATCAATATTCTCTAAATTGAATAAATTAGATTCAGGCAGATTATCCTGGGAATTTTGCGACTTGTAAAGAGTTTCAAAAAAAGGTTTTTGTTCTTGTAGTATCTCAAACTGATCACAAGTTACCTGATTGTTACGAAGTTTGAGCCTTGTGACTGTTTTTTTAAAATGATTTCGTTTTTTCAGGTTGAAGAAGTATTTGGAATTTCGCTCACCAAACTCATGCCACCGAGCTTTGCTCCTAAGAATGGCGCCTTTTGTTTTTTGTCGCATGATCGTTTGAAGGCGCAATTTTGTCGCGTAAAGCTCGTTCAATATTCTTTTGTCGCTAGGGTTTTGTTCACACTTTTGCATAAGTTCATTAACTTTATTTTGAAGGGCAGCCTCTTCATTCCTCTTGTTCTTAGCTTTGATTTTTGAATACTTGAATGTGAATCCGCGAATTTCCATTTTAATTAAGTCCCATTTTAGACCTAAGTCATCCAGGTCAGCATATTTATCTTTGAAATCCGGTAGACTTCCACGGATTGCGGAAGTGAAGTCTTCGTCGTCTAATAGAGTATTATTAAATTTCCAAAAACCAGGAACTTTAGGTTGCAATAAATCTTCTGTCTTAAGATGTAAAGTGACAGCCGAGTGATCAGTTTCAGGGGCGTTAATTATATTGCAAGCATGTGTGTCACTGCTGAGTTCTTTTGAAATTAAAAAGAAGTCTAGTCGGCATTGGATTTTTAGCGATTTGTTTCTCCAAGTGAAGCGGTTGTCGTTCGGATTGCGATCGCGCCAAATGTTTGTTAAATTATAGAGGTTCGCAAGATGCTGAACTTCTTTAATGACTATGGATTTTTTCCAACTGGATTTCCACCTTTTTTGTCATTTTCAGAAAGAGCGCAGTTGAAGTCACCTGCGATAATAGTATTCTCTTGGGCAAAATCTTCAAGCTGATTTTCGAGCTCTTTAAAAAACGTGACTTGCTGTTTCGCGTCATTCGGGGCATAAATATTCACTAGAATTAGATGCAACTCATCAATTAATAGGTCAAGTATAAGAAACCTGCCATTCGTGTCTTGGATGCATTTTTTGACCTTGACATCTAAGTTCGGATTAACGAGAGTCATGACGCCTTTGCTGTGTGAACTGCCGTGACTAAAATAAACCTTCCCACCCCATTCAGCTTCCCAAAATTGGGCACATTCTTTAGAGCTGTAGGTTTCTTGAAAGAATGTGAAATGGAATTTTTGATTATGTAACCAACGGAAGATTGATCGACTTATTCAATCCTCTTACGTTTAAGGACTGGAATTTAAAACTAGGTTTTAAAGGCGTCTACGGGACAAAGGGAAAAAGTCAGAAAATTGCGCTGGCAACGGCGGACTTTGACAGCTGTCTTTTGGCCGAAGTGTGAATGTGAATGCAGTGTTTTGGTGATTAAAGTGTTCAAACTTCTAGTAGAAATAAAATAAATTATCAAAGGACTTTGACAAACATTACTTAAGAAACATAAACACAAAAATAAAAAAGGCGCTGAAAAAGGCCTTCGAACGCACCATACGAAAGTGGTTTGGCGTACTTGAGAGGGTAGCATAACAAGGGACGTAGAAAGCATCCACAATAACAACGACTTTGACTCTGAATGTAAAATAAACGGATTTGCCATTTTGAAAGGTGCAAGTGGAAATTTGGTTACAGTAAGGGAAGCACGAAAATAGCGAGTTCCATCTCAGGGTCGAAATTAAGTCCTCGTTTTTGGAAACACAAAACTAGAGCATGATTTTAAAGGCAAGAAGCAACGGAGTAAAAATAAAGCTGATTTTCAACTAAGAGTTAATTTCAAAGTTTTGTGAAAGGATTGGACTTACAGAAAAAGCGTCACCTATTCGCTTTGACTAAGCAGTTCTTTGGATTGGACCATAACAGCAGAGGATTCTTCTTGACTTTGCAGTGGTTCTTGCTGTTCGGCTGTACCATTGCCATAATCGTCATGGGTATTCACTGAAGAGTTGACAGGGAGCCATTTCTTCGGCACGTCATAATGAAAATAAACTTTTCCTTAACAACTAACTTATCTCCTATGACGGAAGCTTTGTGGCTAGGTGTTTCTTGTTTTATCTTCTTCATCGCAGGGATAAGGATGTTTTTCCTGATTTCTTGTATGTGCTTCGGTAGGTCTTCACCCATTGAAATACGCGAGTTTTTCAGCCTGTAGCAAGCCTTCCAGACACGATCTCTGTCAGCACGACACGTGAAGCGAGCAATGAGAGGTCGGGCTCTGTTTCTGTTTGGCTTGCCAAGACGGTGTGCCCCACAAAGCTTCATATTCGAGACTTCGTCTTGTGGTAGGTTTAAATTTCGGGTTAAGACGTCACGTACCAGCGAGAACCAATCCTCGTCTTTGGACTCATTGACTCTGTAGAAAATTAGATTCCATCGACGACTATAGATGTTTAAATGAGTCAGCTCATCCCAACAAGTTGACTGCTCGTTTTCGCAGTTCGCGACGCGTTCCACAAGGTCGTCATGCTCACCTTGGGTGAACTCAAGGGAATCTTTAGTGTTGTTCACTGTCTTATCGACTTCACGGAGTTGTTTCTTTAAGGCTTGTATTTCAACTTGGGCTTCGTCTAGTCTAGCCTCCAGATTAAGAGTTCGTTGTTCGCGGATTTTAGTGTTGTCTTCGATAGCTGTAAGTCTTAATAAGAAACTTTGATAATCTGTTAGCGTCATTTTGATGTAGGCGCCATCTTGGGCTGCTTCGATGGATTCCGTGTCGGTGCCAGAGCTGCTTATCCTCGGTCGTTTTTTATCTAAATCTTTGTTTCCCATGTTGGTAGCTGTTAGTACGATGAAAAACGTACAAGAACGGCGATATTCACTGTGTTGTGTTGATTGTGTTGATTTGCGGCCTTGCATTAAGACCCTCCATTGTGTATTATAAACAGTCATAACAGAAAATAGGCATACTTCGTCGATCGGCTTTGCTGATAAATCGCTTAAATCTCAACACATTCTTATCTCTCTATGTTTTTGGACATTCGTTTTGTTGGTCTGAAAAGATGTATTGTTTAGAAGATGTGGGAATTTTGCACAGTGATAGGATGAAAATATGCATTTTGAGCCCTTTTAAACCTACAGCAAAGTGGGTATAAATCAAAAAAATATTTAGTACATATCAGTTGCTTTTGAAGGACCAAAATCGTGTGCTTTACGCATTTTAAGAACCAGTTTAATCCTATGAAGTGAAAAGAACCGTTGAAAGTGAAAAACTTTGAGGTGGTAAACTCGGCAATACGCGCTATTTGTATTTTTGTCACTGCAAAAAATTTGGCCGCCGGGCGCTGAAGTGATTTTCCTCCCGAAAAATTGTGTTTTGAAATATTTCCAAAAACTAATGCAGTTGTCAATTACTTTTGGACCAAGATAAATTCATGGGCAAAGTTTAAAGGGAAAAATCGATTTTCCGACCCGAAACGCAGTGGACCGGTTTTAGGGAGACTCCCTCTTAATATTTAATAGAAGTGAATTGCACCCTTAAGGAATTTATCAGGCTACCTACTACAAACATTGATGTCCCCGATTAGTGCACCACTTGAGCTTAGACACTCTAACAAAGCTTTTGATTGACTGTTTGATTGATACTTTATTATACTTTATTTATTTTTGCACACATCGTTTTGCCATTTCGACCCGCAAATAGCCAGAGCTAGACAAGGCGGGCAGAGTGGAAAGGTTACAGCAGTCGTAAATATTAGATTAAAAGAAGCTATGAAGATTATATTAAAGTAAGCTACATAAAATATGCGGATAGGTGAGAATTACAAAAAAACAAAAACAAAACAAAACAAAAAAAAAAAACGAGCTAGAGTACAGAAATAGTCTTACAGAATGGCATTACAAGACACATTTACTAAAGAACCTATCAATTATTAGTGCATAAGGTCCTGGCTGCAGATTTTGCAGTTTATTGTAACAGAGTGGGCACTTCAACATAATCATCCCCTGATAAAATAAAACATGAGACACTTACAGAGACCCTTACCCTATTATTAATTTATGCAACTGAGAGCTTTTAATAACCATTTAACTTTCAATAATTTATTTGTCTCCCTTAGACGTTATACTGAGTGAGATATTAGTGTGTTTTGTGCCCAACAAGATTCTGCAGAAAAATTTACTTGTCCTTTTGACTCAACACCACAATTGACTCTTGCGGCAAACAAAAAAGAAGAGTTATCAAAGTAACTCGGTGAAAAGCAAGCGAAATGGCACAAATTAAGTAGAAATCAGTTTAGTGCACTGAAAGAAAGGAGGGAAAAGTTGATGACGGTAGAAAGAAATTACCCCATAGGAGCACTGCAGATAAAGGTCTGTTGAGGCTGCTTCTTTTAGTGAGCTTCACAGAACATCTACTTTTAACCTGGGTGAAACGTAAGAGTAAGCTCACATCCTTAAAGACGCTTTTTTTAAATGTATTTTGCCACCTTATTATAACAGAAACAGATTACAAGAATCGTTAGAAAATGACAGGAAAACCCAAAGAAACCATGTGGGTTATACAACGTGGACTTTCCCTGTTAAATTAAAAAAGATAGACTTAACATTAATTAAAGTGAACGGCGAAGGCAGAGTAACGATAATACGATGAAATAAGGAATCAAAACATAGTAATTTAAAAAAATAATAAAGAAATAAATAAAAACAAACCAAAAAGCCGATAAAGTGGAATTCAGGGAAAGGAACAAGATAAGTAAAAGGATGTTTCTTCAGCTTTTTCTTAAAATTTTATAAACTAACTGAGCTTAGAATGTCTGGACTAAGTGAATTAAAATACAAGGGACCTTGGTATTGAAATGAAAAGCGCCTTATGTTAGTTCTTCAACTCTTATTTGAACACGATGGTGATTAAAGCGTTGCCGCTTATAGGGTCGTGCATTTAACCTAACTAAACCTTAAGCATAAAAAGTATATTAAAATCGTCTTAATAATACAACAAAATTATCATTAATTTTGTGAGGAATTGTTTGTGGAGATTCAGCCCGAAAATCTAAATTACGTAGATTGTCAGGTTTAGAGGCCATTCAAGTGTAATTTTTAACGTTGGGTGTCTTTTCAAGATCAGTAGTAAGAAGGTCCCACACAATAGATGCTCTATTGCTGGTTTTCAGTGTCACGCCATTCCAAGTAGATCAAAATAAAAATAAAAACCGTTCAATAGATAAAGCCCAGAATCTGGGAAATGAAAGGAGGTACATATACAAAGACCCTCGCCAAGATTCAGGTCAGAGGAATATTTCGTATACGAGATATCCGAAGAAATGTTTTACCCAAAATTATAGAGATTTGTACGGAGACGCCGTACTGGTGCTCACCTCGATGAGCTCCAACATGGCGGAAGGAAACCAACAGAAACGTCTGTTACCGAGTTTTGCGGCAAAAGCGTGAATTTATTCTTCGAGAAACTAATAAACATTAAAGTAATACTTTTTGTAATACATGAACTGTTTAGATAGCAAAATTTCCTGATCATGAAATAAGGCATTTTTTTAACCTACAGCTCTCTTGGCCGTCATGTAACTGCCGCGTCACGCAAAGGCTTAGAAATTCAAGCGTACTCTATCACAAAACCAAGAGCCCTTTTGAAGCGAAGATCTGAATGAAAATTAGTTTTCAGCTGCGCTAATGCATCGTGAAAGTAAAATCTCGGTATGATCGATAGTTTTTTGTTTTGAATTTTGGTGGCGTCATGTGAAAACCGTGATTTGTATTTGTATTTTTATTTACTCCGTTCTATATATAATAAATCCGTTGTACAATAAATTAGTAGAAGGTTGTTTAAAGTACGTGTACATAATGTCAGCAAGAAAATTTAGATCGGAGAAGGGCGCATTATAGTAAGACTAATTATGGCCCTTTAACAAGATTGACTTTATCCTATTATAGTTTTGTCATTCATTGAAACACACAAACACACACACACACACCTACACGTCAGTATTGAGCAAGATAATATTTTTTAAGTGCCTTTTTAAACAGGATTTTCGATGATTTATTGCAAATAGAAAGGGGGAGATCGTTCCAATAGTATTTTCCAATGACGGTAGGGCAAAACTCTCGAATATTAATTCTTGAGTAGGGAATGTGTAATTGCTGAGCAGATGCAATTCGTGTAAATAATTATGTTGCTAAGATACAAAAGATAATCTAAAATTACACGGCTTACTATCAGAGAGATGATCATACAAAAACAAACAATTGTAAATTTTGACAATATCACGAAATATTAATAAACCTACAGCTGTAGATGAACATAATGAGGGGTGATATGATCTCGTAAAAGAACGTCATTCATTATTCTAACTGCTTTATTTTGAAGAAGTATAAGCTGTGATAATGGATTATTATAATTATTTTCCCATAATAAGCATTCATATATGAGATATGGGTAAACAGGAGAATGATAAATACTAGTTAAACACACATTTTCTATAATATCTATTCTCAAGTCATCCCGTAAATGGCCGTTTTTATGCTAGCGACGTTAAAGTCGTCTGAGACGTTAAAGTCGTCTTAAGACGACTTTAACGTCTACTATAAAAACGGTAAATAAGGCAGACGACTTTAACGTCTTCTGTTAAGTGTGTCCGAACGACGCACTTAACAGACGACTTTAACGTCTCAGACGTTAAAGTCGTCTTGTATAAAGACGGGACGTCGTAAACTAGGACGCATTTATGCTCGACTCGTCCAGAGACGACTGGGACGAGTGCAAAACATCATGGCGGCCAAGAAGAGCATGAAGAAGTCTTGTGGTAGAAAGTGGAGTGAGGATGAACTTAAGGAGTTTGCATCTGTTCTCGCAGACGACCGAACTGAATTTGCATTAACTTTGGACACTCTTGCACTCATCATCTTCCATCATCTGAGGTTTTCGCTTTCTCGATTCACTTTTCTGTGTTACCAACATCTGCATTTCTAAGTCATGCCTTTCTTGGCGACGGCGAGAAATAGACTTTAAAAGTTGTACCGCCGCCGCCATGTTACAGTTTGAACAATTTGTTCGCATTTCGCGAGCTTGAAGTTCATTTTTGGTGTCCCTTTAACTCGTGTCCAGTGTCTTCCGAGAGTAGAGCCTAGTCCTTTTTTCAGAAAAATCTACTTTTTTAGTCTCGCTTGCTTGAGCAGAGCGAGACTCTTAAAATGCAGTCATTTTTTTTTTTTCGTCGGACCTAGTTTGAAGGCCCCGCGTTCTTATCGAAGACCGTGGAAACTGGGCATAAGAATCGTGACGACTTTCATTGTATGGAAATGAGTCTCGTGATGAGAATGCAGTTTATTTCGGCGATGACTAAAATGACGCATGTAAGTTTGGCAATGACGTAATCATGTTTCCTCGAATAGAGGCCTTTGATTTTCGTGTAATTATGCACGACATGCAGGCACATCCCCAAGCAGGATGAGAAAATATTATAGCGGGGAAATCCTCAGGAGTTTGTGGCTTTTTAAGGCGTTACGTTTCTCAGAATACTGTCGCAATTACAGGAAATGTACGGTTAAATAGATTCACTTTGTTTTATGTATTTAATTGATAGATTTTCGCAGTTGTTACGATGTGAAGTCGTGTTGCACTTCATGAATAGTTGAGATATGAAGAATCCACTGTCACGTAATTTTTACGTGCGCACGTGGGTAAAATTTGCGTTCGCAAATAAAATAAAGGGAATGTATGAAAGGCTGCACGTACAATTATGTAAGCGTAACCTCTATCCTCTCTTACCTCTATTTGATTTACGTGATTAAAATTTACGTGCGTTAACGTGCGGAGCCAAAAACGCATCAGTGGCAATCCACCCTAACGTGTCACGGATGTGTTTGTACGGGTAGCTTTGAACTTGACTAACCTCACACTCTACTTGCAGCACTTCATGTCCATAGTTAATAGAAATCCCATATCGAGCTTTTCCGGAACGGGTTGGTCCGAGAATTCTATGGCTTGAAAGCGTTGATTATTTTGGAACAACTGATCACTTCAGTGGTCGAAAAAAAAAGAATAATCTTAATGAGCAAAACTTCAAGGTTTACTGGAAACTCAGGATCGAGGATCGAGGATCGAGAAATCAGGGATCAAGGATTGGTTAAAAAGGACTTGAAAATAAAATAAATAAATAAATCGTGGATCAGTGATGATGTGGGCCGCAGACTGTAGATAAATTTCACAGAACATAACCCCGTTCGCTGTACTATCTATCTATCTATCTATCTATCTATCTATCTATCTATCTATCTATCTATCTATCTATCTATCTATCTATCTATCTATCTGTCTGTCTGTCTGTCTGTCTGTCTATCTATCTATCTATCTATCTATCTATCAATCTATCTATCTATCTATCTATCAGTCTATCAATCTATCTATCTATCTATCTATCTATCTAAAATGCATGCTGTGTACAACTCTAAACATTGTACTCTGAGACTGTACGGAGATATTAAAAGTAGATACTAAGCAGCTATGGAAAATGTCATTACTTTCATGCGATATTGATATCTTATAAAACAGACAACAAATTCAAGAGGAATACGCGCGAACTGAATTAACTGTTTGTTGTATAAGGTTCTGTTCAACTTACACTTTTTTCCTGTACTGAACATTACTGTACCGAGCCGTATCTTGGTCCGGTACAAAGAAGCTATGTATATTTATACTGACAGTGTCATGGGCCCCTGATACCGATAAAAATCATCGTTTAATTTTTCGAGTGTAGAATCCCTGAAAGAGTACACCTCAATGGAGTAATATCAATATGTAGAAGGTTTTCAAAGGTTTCACACCGGTTTGCGGTTAAGATGTGCGGCCTGTCTCTCCTTGCAATTTTTACTTTTTGAGTATATACATTATGACATACAACACTCGTTTTGTATTCCAAACAAAAAAGTAGTATAACGGCATCGGGGCCTTTGACAACAAAACTCATCTCCTCAACTCATCTCAGCAAGCGAGACTCAACGCTACTAAGAGCGTTCTTGTTAAATAAGGTCGTCTACTTTTGTGCGTCCCGTTTTTACACTAGACGACTTTAACGTCTCAATATATAAGTCTAAGAGTATATTACGTGGTAAAAAGGAACTACGCTTTAGTAAGTTTAATTTGTTAACAAAACTTTTCTTCACTTCTAAAATACGCTGAGGTCATGTAAGTTTGTTATCGATAGTCACGCCTAACAATCGTGCGTGGGTCACCCATTTTATCTTGTGGTTGCACAGTATGAGAGCGTTGAGCGGGCCAGTAAAACTACCTCGTAGTAACATCACTGCTTCACACTTTTTAGGGTGAGGTACTAGGTGGTTCTTTAAACTCCAGTCTTGTAATTCCTTTAGTGCATTTTTTTTCTTACATTGAGCATGTAGGAGACGGAGTCTACTGACTCACCTACACAATAGATGGTCGTGTCGTCAGCATACATGCATGTAGAGAGATGCAGAAATAACATCCTCAGGTAGATCGCTGGTGCACAGGGCGAGAAGTGTTGGTCCCAACACGGAGTCTTGAGGGACGCGAGAAGTTACGAAAGCTCGGTCTAAAAGTTCTCCATTTACAACAGTGTATTGGTTTCTTTCACTCAGATAGTCTCCTACCCAGTCAAATAGGTTCCCCTTGATCCCGTAATTATGCTCAATTTTGTGGATTAAAATTCTGTGAGAAATGCTCTCAAAAGCTTTTTAGAAGTCAATAAATAATACGCTAACGACGAGGTTGGAGTCTAGGGCGCGTCTCCAGGTCTATCTTAGTTGTGCTAACAGCAAGTCAGTAGAGTGGCCCTTAGGGTAGGCCCACTGATATTCAGTTACTAGCTGATTGCTAGTGAAGACGTGATCTACAATAGAGTCGGTGACACAAGACTCTAGGATTTTGCTCGGTATGCTTAGCACTTAGTTCTGAACTATCATTCTTGGTATCATGAGTATGAACCTGATTCCTTGGAATAAACGTGTTATTAAATATATCTGGTAACAACCCAGTTTTATATTGAAACATTATTTTACGTATTTCTGCTAGATACATATCATTTTTGGGTCCGTATGAGCATCATAACAAGATTTACGGATGATTCAAATAGCTCGTTTTTGCAGCTGTACGAGGCGTTTTAAATTAAAAGGATAGGTCGATCCCCAAACACTTACGCAATATTGCAAATGGGGATAGACAAGGGAGAAATGGAGTGTAGGCAAAGCAAATTTATAAAGGGAAAAGCTTGACTTGGAGATAACACCTAAAGACCTGGAAATTTTAGAAGCTAAATAAGCAATGTGCGGTTTCCATGACAGACGCTCATCCAAAATCACCCTTAGAAAAACAGTTTCACTTTCCAGAGCTAAAATATAATCACAAAGCTCTACTGTTAAATGATCAAGCGTTTGCCTCTTTTGTCTTGGGTTTTCTCGATATCAATTGACAGCCTATTCGTTTGGAACCAAGAGGTTAACTTAATCAATTCAAAATTCACCTTCAGTATCAGAAAATTAATTTTTTTATGAGAAAGGAAGAAATTAGTATCATCGGCAAATGAAATAAATTCCAATTCTTTCGACACATCAAAAATATCATTAACATTAATTATAAAACAAGAAAATCCAAGAATAGAAACATGTGGGACGCCACAATTAACACATTGGGTAGAAGAACAATGACCTTTGTATTGAACAAATTCTTTTCTCTTGAAAAGATAACTTTTAAACCAATCTTGACCAGTCCCACGGACTCCATAATGTTCGATTTTTAATAGTATAATTTCATGATTAACTGTATCAAAAGCCTAAGATACGGCAAGAAAAATACCAACAGTGTATCATCTCCATTAAAAACAGCTGGTGGAATTTTGTCTTATAACTGTATAAGTGCTAGAGAGATCGAGTGGTTTTACCTAAATCCGAACTGATTTTTAGACAAGATACTAAGCTTATTTAAAAGGCTTAGAAGACAATTGTATACTACCCGTATATCGGTAGAATGGCCACGGGTCTATAATTACTAAAAAACATGTTTATCACCATTCTTAAAGATCGGGATTACACGCGCTATTTTAAACAAGTCAGGTACAACACCTGACCTAATAGAAAGATTTGTTATGTGATAAAGAGGATCAGAAATTAAGTCAATTATTTGGGACGTTATCACAACCAGCTACAACTCTGTGCCGAAGAGGATTGCAAATATTGATTATTTCCTGCCTAGATGCGGAATCAAGAAACAAGGAATTTACTTCACACGCAACATTTCCCATAATAAACGAATAAGGAAGATCTAATTAATTTTTTCTTCGATTAAGTACCTCATTGAGTATTCTCCACGTACCTTTAGGATGGGATTAATAATTATCTCGTTTCTTTTCGTAGTTTTAACGTTTTGAGATTCTTAATAAATGACTCAATTTGTTTTCATACTTCTTATAGAGCTGTTCACTTTCCTGATCTGGATCTTTAAGAAACTGTTTATACATTTCCTTTTTCTTTATAGATTGGGCAAGACCTGCAGTTAATCCAACGTTTCTTAATAACTTGAGGTCGTGCTCTTTTTCTTTTTAATGAGAAACATTTGTTATATAAAATAGCAAACTTTTCAGGAATCTTGCATAAGCTTGAAGAGGATCATTAAACCTGTTTGGAGGACGATTTGACAGCCAATTTGATTTACTCGTTATCTCTGGACAAGCCTGTATACATAACGGGGGACTTAAATTGTAATCTCTTAAACGCACAGTACACTGAAACAAATCGCTAACTGGCTTTTGCAACTAATTCCAAAATCGAATCTTTGGCTGAAGGGCACAACTTCGTTCTTTATGAAAGCGCTTTTACTCCTAGATGTTTTCCTACTAGTGAGCAATTTACATTTAATTATGTTGATTGTAAACAAGGACAGCCTGCCGATCACAATCCCTTTTATCACGTCAGTCATTAATGCTTCTCTTTTATCTTCAACATTCCCAGAGGTCTGGAAACTGCCTAAATTACACCTATTCCAACCAAGGCAACCACGAACTTCTTAACAATAAAGGACCAATTTCCCTGCTACCTGCATCGTCAAAGGTTTGCGAGAGAGTAGCTTGTAATCAGTTTGGCATCTGTTTGACAACACAGGAATGGCTTACCACAAAACAAAAGGACAACAAAAGCCTTCGACAACGTTGACCATCAAATATTGTTACGTAAAATACAAAGTGTTGACGCCTAGATCAGTGCGATAAGAAGGTTTAACCGCAACCTCACAAATAGATATCAAGTTGTTCAAATTCATAGTTCCGTTTCTGATCCACCGCCACTTGAATGTGGCGTCCCTCCAGGTAGTATTCGAGACCCCCACAAAACTCATGGCATTGCTCTAGACAAGGTTATGTAGACGATTCAAAATTGTTTGTTCCTTTCAATTTACACGACTCCCATCGAATTGTCCAAGAAATGAATGAAGATCTCCTGCAGGTGCGCAACTGGTGCTTCGGAAATCGGCTATTACTGAATCAAGACAAGACGAAATTAATTGTTTTCGGGAGCCAACAGATGACCCCTAAGCTCCACGAATTTCATTTGTCCTTGGTGGGAAAGAACATCTCCCGAGTGCAATCAGCGAGAGACTGATCTCGGAAAAATTTTGGACCCGAACTTAACATTTGATAACCATATAACGACCACAGTGTCAGAATGTATCGCACGTCTTTTAGATATTTTTTTAAAAAAATGCTTCTTAGTTTAGTTTATAGTCTTGTAATCATTAATCAGTTAGCATTGTAATTAGTACTAAGTTGAGGGTTGCAATTAGTTAAATGTAATGCTTTTGTGAATAATTTCAACAAGTTATTTGCAAACCGTTTTTACTAGATATGATGCTAGAGAAATAGGGAGAGCTGATAAAAAGCGTGACAAAAAACGTCGTTGAAATTGTTTAAATCACCTTTAAATGGGGAACTTCTTTTCCGTCTTCCAGTGATAAAGGACAAGCTTGCCAGGTAATCTTTAAAATATCAGAAACATACCATCAGGTTATTTCCAAAGGAGTAAATAATTTCTACTCATATAATGCCGAAGAGATTAGGATAGTTATAGACTGATAACAAACATAACAAGCCTAAAACACAAAGCGTTGACGCCTCGATCAGCACGCCAAAAAGGTTTAACAGCTACCACTCAAATAGATATCAAGTTTAACAACTTCATAGTTCCGTTTCTGATCCACCGCCACTTGAATGATGCGTCCCCTCAAGGTAGATCTACAGAATGTTATATAGACGATACAAAATTGTTTGTTTCTTTCAGTTTACACTACTTTCATCGGATTGTCCAAGAAGTGAATGAAGATCTCCTGCAGGTGCGCAACTGGTGTTTCAGAAATCGGCTATTAATGAATCAAGACAAGACGAAATTAATTGTTTTCGGGAGCCAACAGATGACCTCTAAGCTCCACGAATTTCATTTGTCCTTGGTGGGAAAGAACATCTCCCCATTGCAATCAGCGAGAGACTGATTTCGGAGTAATTTGGATCCGAACTTAACATTTGATAACCATATAACGACCACAGTGTCAGAATGTATCGCACGTCTTTTAGATATTTTTTAAAAAAATGCATTTTAGTTTAGTTTATAGTCTTGTAATCGGTAATCAGTTAGCATTGTAATTAGTACTAAGTTGAGGGTTGCAATTAGTTAAATGTAATGCTTTTGCGAATAATTTCAACAAGTTATTTGCAAACCGTTTTTACTAGATATAATGCTAGAGAAATAGGGAGAGCTGATAAAAAGCGTGACAAAAAACGTCGTTGAAATTGTTTAAATCACCTTTAAATGGGGAACTTCTTTTCCGTCTTCCAGTGATAAAGGACAAGCTTGCCAGGTAATCTTTAAAATATCAGAAACATACCATCAGGTTATTTCCAAAGAAGTAAATAATTTCTACGCATATGATGCCGAAGAGATTAGGATAGTTATAGACTGATAACAAACATAACAAGCACAAAATAAAGAGCGTTGACGCCCCGATTAGCACGCCAAAAAGGTTTAACAGCTACCTCTCAAATAGATATCAAGTTTTACAACTTTATAGTTCCGTTTCTGATTCACCGCCACTTGAATGTTGCGTCCCTCATGGTAGATCTACAGAATGTTATATAGACGATACAAAATTGTTTGTTTCTTTTAGTTTACACTACTCTCATCGGATTGTCCAAGAAGTGAATGAAGATCTCCTGCAGGTGCGCAACTGGTGTTTCAGAAATCGGCTATTAATGAATCAAGACAAGACGAAATTAATTGCTTTTGTGGGCCGACAGATGACCTCTAAGCTCCACGAATTTCATTTGTCCTTGGTGGGAAAGAACATCTCCCCAGTGCAATCAGCGAGAGACTGATCTCGGAGTAATTTTGGATCCGAACTTAACATTTGATAACCATATAACGACCACAGTGTCGGAATGTATCCCAAGTCTAGCGCAAATTAACCATGTGAAACATAACTTAGACAAAAATACGTTGTTGACCGAAATACATGCCTGAGTTTTCAGCAAAATTTACTACTGCGCGAACGTTTGGGCAAATATCACGAATAAGAAAGTTAGAAAATGCAGGCTGTTCAAAGCTTTTCTTGCCGAATCGTCAGCGGTGCTAGAAAATATGATCATGTAAGGCCCTTCTTAAAAAGCCTGTCTTGGTTGTCTGTTAAGGACCAACTATATTATCACCAAGCAAGTTAGAAAATGGATGATGCGGCGTGGCCAGAAACTAAACATCCCTCTTTTCAAAACAGTCTCCAGACAGAGAACTTTTTACTACAGAACTATTAAGCTTTGGGGCAATTTAGAACCTTCTCTTTAATTAAGCCAATCTGTTCATACTTTTAAATGTCTCTTAAGGAAACAGCTTTAAGATAATTTTTTAAAATGATTCTTAGTTAAGTTTAAAAGCAGTGTAATCAGTAATCAGTTAGCATTGTAATTAGTACTAAGTTGAGTGTGCAATTACTTAAATGTACATGCTTGTAAATAATGATTTTACCTGTACCATATCTAACGGAAATATAAAATTTCCCCACATGTGAAATGCGTTGTTTGAACTTGGCCCCTGATACACTTATTTAAAGTTTTGTTTGTTTGTTTGTTTTTTTAACAGCTTGTAGTCATGTTGTTTCAGTTACCTGTTTGTAGGGACTTTCCTTTCTTCCTTTCAGTGGTGGAGGGCGAGGTTGCCACGGAATCTATAAAATATCAGAACCATTGCAATAAGTTATTTGCAACCCGATTTTATTAGATATGATGCTAGAGAAATAGGAAGAGCTCATAGCAAGTGTGACAAAAAACGTCGTTAATATCATTTCAATCACCTCTTAATGGGAAACTTCTTTTTCGTCTTTCAGCGTTAATGGACAACTTTGCCATGTGATCTTTAAAATATAAGAAACATACCATTAGGTTATTTGAAAAGCAATGCATAATTTTTACGGACATGATGCCGAAGAGATTAGGATAGTTATTTACTACTGATAACAAACATAACAAGCATAGGCTACGTAAAGACATTGTTTTCAATACCCTATTCCGGTATACCAGCTGCTTGTATGCCTCAATGTGGACAGTTTTTGTCAACCACGTCAACAAGGAACTTAAGATCTAACGAAGCGACGGCAACGAGAACGTTGCAAAAAATTGGTTTAATAAGCAAAACAACAACTTCGCACGTGCATCACACTTTTTATACAACGACGACAAAGTAAATGGGTAGGAATGTTCACGATAAAGACTGAAAGAACGCAAATTCACTTTTAAGCGACGATCTCGTTGCCATCACGTCGTTGAATCTCGTTGAAGTTCCTATCGCGAGCGCTTGGCTTCGCGCACGCAGAGACAGGAATAAACATACCCAGCGTGCCTACACGGCACATTTTGATATTCAAAAATTTGTTATTTTGATAGGAGAATGATTTTTGTGGGCAGGGTAATAGGGCTGAGTGAGGTATTTGTAAAGATACTTTACAGAGATGCTTACGATCTCCTGCTTTTTTAAGTGCGGCCGCCTGTAACATCGAGAATTCGCCGTCAAAACTGAAATTTCAAAAATCTTTATGTTCAGTTAGAAAAATCCCTTTGGTGAAACATTGTCCAAAATCACGATCAAAGTTTCCAAAGAAGTTTCTTTTTCGAAAAAACCGGCAAAAAGTGAAATGCTGCGTTCACGTCAAATAGTCGCTGGTCCAAAACCTTTGAATTATACCAGTTTTTAGCCCTCGGGAAGAAAATCAGTTTAAGGAAATAATTTCATCTTTGGCAGGTAAGTAAGGCATCCCTGTTGCAATACTATTTGGTAAAAATATTGCAAGTTAATGCATCAGTTTTACTCAGCTAAAAATGGC